TGTTGTTTTAGTGGTGATGTGGTGGTGGAATTAGTGGTGATGTGGTGTTGGGGTTAGTGGTGATGTGGTGGTGGGGTTAGTGGTAATGTGGTGGTGGGGTTAGTGGTAATGTGGTTTTAGTGGTGATGTGGTGGTGGGGTGAGTGGTGATGTGGTGGGGGGTTAGTGGTGAAGTGGTGCTAGGGTAAGTGGTGATGTTGTGGTGGAGCTAGTGGTGATGGGGTTAGTGGTGATGTGGCGGTGGTAATGTGGTGGTGGGGTTAGTGGTGATGTGGTAGTGGGGTTAGTGGTTACGTGGTGGTGGAGTTAGTGGTGATGTGGTGGTGGGGCTAGTGGTGATGTGGTGGTGGGGTTAATGGTGATGTGGTGGTGGTGGTGGGAATAGTGGTGATGTGGTGGTGGGGTTAGTCGTGATGTGGTGGTGGTGTGAGTGGTAGTGGGGTTACTGGTGATGTGATGTGGTGGTGGGGTGAGTGGTGATGTGGTGGTGGGGTGAGTGGTGGTGGAGTTACTGGTGGTGGGGTTACTGGTGATGTGGTGGTGGGGGGGGGGGGGGGGGGGGGGGGTATTTGTGATGTGGTGGTAATGTGGTTTTAGTGGTGATGTGGTGGTGGCGTTAGTGGTGACGCGGTGGTGGAGTTAGTGGTGATGTGGTGGGGGGTTAGTGGTAATGTGGTTTTAGTGGTGATGTGGTGGTGGCGTTAGTGGTGATGTGGTGGTGGAGTTGGTGGTGATGTGGTGGTGGGGTGATGTGGTGGTGGAGTTAGTGGTAGTGTTGTTTTAGTGGTGATGTGGTGGTGGAATTAGTGGTGATGTGGTGGTGGGGTTAGTGGTGATGTGGTGGTGGGGTGAGTGGTGGTGGGGTTACTGGTGATGTGATGTGGTGGTGGGGTGAGTGGTGATGTGGTGGTGGGGTGAGTGGTGGTGGAGTTACTGGTGGTGGGGTTACTGGTGATGTGGTGGGGGGTATTTGTGTGTAGGGGGGGGGGGGGGCTTTGTGGTGATGTGGTGGTGGAGATGGTGGTGATGTGGTGGTGGTGGAGTTAGCGGTGATGTGGTGGTGGGGTTAGTGGTGATGTGGTGGTGGGGTTAGTGGTGATGTGGTGGTGGGGTTAGTGGTGATGTGTAGATGGGGTTAGTGGTGATGTAGTGGTGGGGTGATGTGGTGGTGAGGTTAGTGCTGATGTGGTGGTGGAGTTAATGGTGATGTGGTGGTGGGGGGAGTGGTGGTGATGTGGTGGTGGAGTTAGTGGTGATGTGGTGCTAGGGTTAGAGTGTTTGGGAGGGCTGGGGTTAGAATGGAGAAGGTACGTCTCATACCACTAAATAACCACTGAGGTGTGAACCCCATTTATTTTGTTACCCACAGTTATAAGGTTAGAATATTGCTAAAAGGCGACAATAAACTCCTTTCTCACTTTGAGCGAAACACTAGCTGGTATACAGACTACTCGTTTTCATCCAATGTTATTTAATTGGTCTAACGTCTTACTTTGAAATAATCGAGCGCAATAAAATCAGCCATGTTTCAATGGGAAGGAATAGATATTACAAGTTCGCTGTACGTTTCCAAACTTTCTTCACTCTGCGATTCTCCCTCTGCCTCTCCCTCTGCCTCTCTCCTCTGCCTCTCTCCCCTGACCCTCTCCCTGGGCCGGCGCACGTGGCATCCAGACCCGGTGCCCCACCGGCCTCCAAGTCGGCTTTCAACAACCTGTTTGTTGACAAAAGCAGATTGTATTCGCTGTGCAATGAATTAGCACCATAGCTGGACTCTGCGTCTAATTTGTCCAATATTATGATATAAACACAATCTGTTCCCGGTGGATGTTGACGAAATGAGACTTCGTACTAAAGATGTCTGCCACAGAATAATATATTCCTTGAGCAGCGAGCATCATCTGTCGGGGATTGGGTAACGTGATTTCTTCAAGGTAAATTGTTATTTCAACGTGTAGATTTAAACAGAAGCGTTACTTGTGCATGCCGAATTGTTTTAACTGGTCGAATGAGTGAGTGAGTTGGGTTTAACGCCCTTTGAAAAGTAGTTCGGTAATATCACGGCGTGTCAGCTTAATGTGGGAGGAAAGCCCGAAGTGATGCAGGTCTCAGACGTTTCCTACTTTTGTGAAACCCACGAGCACGGGTATGGTGCTGACAAACCTAGAAACATAACCGGGGCGAATCCGGATATTATCTGGTCACTTATCTGGCACTTATATATGAGAACACTCGCTTATGTGAGAACAGCCGCCTGTATAATTAACTCAGTTAAAGCAAACCCGCTTAAACTATAAAATCAGGTATATCAAACCTGCTTATATAATAAACTCAGTTGTATCAAACCTGCTTATATAATAAACTCAGTTGTATCAAACCCGCTTATAAAATAAACTCAGTTGTATCTAATCCGCTTATGTAATAACCTCGGTTATATCAAACCCGTTTATATGATAAACTGTCATCTCAAACCCGCATATATGAAAAACTCAGTTATATCAAACCCGCTTATATAATAAACTCAGTTGTATCAAACCCGCTTATATGATAAACTCAGGTATATCAAACCCGCTTATTTAATAAACTCAGTTATATCAAACCCGCTTATGTAATAAACTCGGTTATATCAAACCTGCTTATGTACTAAACACGGTTATATCAAACCTGCTTATGTAATAAACTCATTTACCTCAAACCCGTTTATGTGATAAACTCAAATACCTCACACCAACTTGTGTGATAACACTGCTATCTCAATAACCAGTTAATATGATAAAGTCGGTTATGTCACACCCACCTGTATGATAACACTGTTATCTCAAACCGGCGGATATGACGCACACGGTTTAAACTCGGAGCGACCACCTCAACAACTGGGCCAGCCCGCCGCCCGGTGCCTATATTAGCGATACCCCGAAATGTGTATTTAAATACAACCCGCTGTTCGTTCCAACAAATATTATCACACGAACGTTTTCTCACAGATTCCTCGGAACAGAATCATATTTATCTCATTATCAGGCGTGACCCTGTCCTAGCCCGACCCGCAGTTGATAACGCTGGCTTTGTTTATTTCACATCAATAAAATTCTCTCAGATCTTCCATTTGCTGGTCGTCTAGGTTACCAGGAGTTACAGTACTACGCGGAATTGCGTACAAGTGTGGTACTACTTTTTCATATGGTTGTAATACTCCGCATAATGATGTTTACCTATTTTTCGTTTAAATATAGCAATTAGGATCAGGCGTAGCTCACCCAAGGACTGTGACCATACGCCTAATCTACCTTCTTACAACAAATATTCCAATAAATGTATTTTCTTTCCTATACACTGTATATTCAGTGCGCACGTTGCCCTCGTGGAATATGAAATGAAAATAGGATACGCCCACCGTTTAGTTTTATTTGGATTTAAGAATTACCAAATGTTATACTTTGGTGTAAAATTACTTTAAAAAACTTAATCGTCTTTTGTTACGACCCAAACGGGTCCAAGGTCTCAAGTACGTAAGCACAATGATGAATTTCTGTGATGTTGGGGTTATTTCTCAGAATGGCGAAAGCAGTGGTAAATATATCATCCGACGTTTATAACACAATCTCTCCAAAAGTCAAGAGGTCGTGTTTTTGATGAAACGCGGAAGTCATTTTCAATAGATTGCTTGTTGATGGGAACAGTCTGTATAAAACACAAGCTCCTCTCACGATTTGCGTCTGCTCATGTGTAGACATAGGTAAAGAGTTGCGAATGACCGTTCCTGAGTCGATCTTCAGTCTGTGAGGAGAGATCACCGCTGTAGGTCTCGGGCACTGCGGTAGATCGCGAGAAGAGCTCGTTCCGTGAAAGGGTGTACTTAATTGTCTCCTCCACCTTCCATAGTCCGTCTCGCCGTAAAGGTTATTTAATGGCGAAACGACTTATTTGCTTTGAAACAACACTGTAAAGAAACTACATCGACTGTTTGGCGCTTCGTAACCAGCTTTGCCACTTGATAAAATGTCAGCCGACGACATGTGACGCGGTGAGACGGTGTGACGTCACTAAGGCCACATTGTTTTTAAATCCGAGAATGCTTGAAATGTTTCTGTCAGCATTTTTTATACTGCCCGACTTATATCATTCTCGTTTGAAGAGTGTCCAAAAGTGTAAAAATGCGGAATATTATGCTCTTGGTTTGTTCTGATCTGAAAATACGAACGAAGACAAGTTACAGCAGCCATCAAATGTGCTGTTTCCGAAGAAGCAACGCTTAACACCAATGTTGTTAAAAAGCAATCCCCTCAAGATGTTTTTTTACTGTTAATGAGTGTGTGATAGCTAAGGCAAAGTTTAAGTTTAGGATAGATGCCCTGAAAACATTTCGGCTCCTTTTAACGCCGTGACCACGAAATTGTGCGATCTGATATGAAGGCATTGCGGGGCTGATGGAACATATTCGGCTCAGCGCCTCTATCCTGACATAATCCTAAGCTGTGATTGTTTCCTTTCAAAGGAGTGAGTGAGTGAGTTTAACGCCACCTTGTACAGTATTTCAGTTACATCGCGGAATATCATGGGTGCGGCTCTTAGACCTTTACCACTTTGGTTCAACCAACGAGCGCGGGATTGGTGCTGGCAATCTAGAAACACAATGAGGGCGATCCGAGATTCGAACCCACGATCTTAGATTCCGGCACACGAAAGGGACGCAACTCACAGTGAACTGATACGCCTTAGAGGCCTGGCATGGACATGATTACATACTATGGGCTGCCGTGAATGGTTGCCGTTTTAACAATATTCCCTCAATATCACGACAGGGGACACCGGAAGTAGACTTCATGCTGTACCCGTGTAGAAAATCGAACCCGGTCTTCGGCGTGTCGTGAGATTTAGCTTCATTCTCATCATACGTTGACAGTGATTATGGTGATGACATTGGGTTTATTTTGTTGATGGTTTTCGATCAATCTGTTACCGTTATCATGGGTATTTTTCAACCATTGCCTTCTGTTTTAGGAAATACGAACGCGACCCCCGCTTGACCCCAAAGGCAGCTGGTTAGAATTCGTCCGCCATTCAGACAGGATAAACAATAGGAAAATGTCAAAGAATAAACGGAAGAAAAAAAGAAAAACATTGGTAAGAAAGACAAGCCAAGGCTCCCTTTTGCGTTCCTCTGAGCCGAAGGCCCAAGTGAGTGTGTCCGGCGACAATTCTTTTTCTCTCAACTTTCTTAATTCTTTGTTACTGGGAAACAAGCGAAACTAAACTAGCATGTCCTGTGTCACATTACTCACACACACACACACACACACACACACCACTGCATCACCCTGATTGCGTCACTCCCCCTTGTAGGCAAAATCTCTGGTAGCGTATTCTTACCATTGGCAACATTGCCTAAGCCCTATGTTGATCTTGTCCGCTAATCGTGGTGATATTGTCGCTCATGTCGATATATTGCCACCCGTGAAGATCCGGGGAAGAATAACTCTTCAGCAACCCATGCTTGTCGTAAAAGGCGACTAACGGGATCGGGTGGTCAGACTCGCTGACTTGGATGATGCATGTCATCGATCTCATTTGAGGGGAACGATGCTCATGGTGTCAATCACTGGATTGTCTGGTCCAGACCTGATTATTTACAGACCGCCGTCATATAGCTGGAATATTGCTGAGTGCGGCGTTAAACAACAAACAAACAAATATATTTCCCCTGATCATGTTGATATTGCCCCTACCCATGTTGATATTGTCCCTGCCCATGTTGATATTGCCCCTCATCATGTTAATATTGTCCCTACCCATGTTGATATTGTCCTTGCCCATGTTGATATTGTCCCCACCCATGGTAATATTGTCCCTAATGATGATATATTGTCACTAATCATGTTGATATTGTCCCTACCCATATTGATATTGTGCCTGCCCATGTTGATAGTGTCCCTGCCCATGTTGATATTGTCCCTGTCCATGTTGATATTGATCCTACAAATGTTGATATTGTCCCTACCCATGATGATGTTGTCTGCTTATCGTGGTGATATTGTCCCTCATTACGATATATTGTCCTTAATCATGTTAATATTGTCCCTGTCTATTTTGATATTGTCCCTAATCGTTGTGATATTGTCCCTAATCACGTTAATATTGCCCCTACCAATATTGATGTTGTCCCTAATTATGTTGATTTTCTCCCTGCCCATGTTCATATTGTCCCTAATCATGTTGATATTGTCCCTCATGACGATATATTGCCACCCGTGAAGATCCGGGGAAGAATAAGGCTTGTCGTAAAAGGCGACTAACGGGTTCGGGTGGTCAGACTCGCTGACTTGGTTGATGCATGTCATCGATCCCAATTGCGTGAAACGATGCTCATGGTGTCAATTACTGGATTGTCTGGTCCAGACTCGATTATTTACAGACCGCCGTCAACAAACAACAAAGAAACAAACAGACAAACATCACGGTGGGCCGGGAGAGCTTCGAATTTTTTGACCTGATTATTTACAGACCGCTGTCATATAGCTGGAATATTGCTGAGTGCGGCGTTAAACAACAAACAAATATATTGCCCCTAATCATGTTGATATTGCCCCTACCCATGTTGATATTGTCCTTGCCCATGTTGATATTGTCCCTACCAATGGTGAAATTGTCCCTAATGATGATATATTGTCACTAATCATGTTGATATTGTCCCTACCCATATTGATATTGTCCCTGCCCATGTTGATCTTGTCCCTGCCCATGTTGATATTGTCCCTGCCCATGTTGATAGTGTCCCTGTCCATGTTGATATTGTCCCTGCCCATGTTGATAGTGTCCCTGCCCATGTTGATATTGTCCCTGCCCATGTTGATATTGTCCCTACCCATGGTGATATTGCCCCTACCCATGTTGATATTGTCCCTGCCTATGTTGATAGTGTCACTGCCCATGTTGATATTGTCCCTCATCATGTTGATATTGTACCTGCGCCTGCTCATATTGTCCCTAAACATGGTGATATCACTTTGTTGACATTAATTAGCAGACAATAGTATGCATTAAAGGGTCAACCCCACCCACCACCCACTCCAGAACCAGTACACAACCACCCCAACCCAACTCGTCCACACACACCCACACACACACACTCCTGAACCAGTAGACAACCACCCACCCGACACCAAACACACACACACACACATAACTCAGCTGAATTTATTTCACAAACATTCAAGTTTTCAAGCTAATCTTTCGTGTCGACTTAAAATATTATACTACTGTAAAATACTTTCGTTTACCTCACTGACAATGTCAGGTAGTTTCTGATTACGTGATACACCTGTGTGTCATCCCCGTGTTTCTTCCAGCACGGCCCCATAGGTCCCCCCGGCCCGCCTGGCCCCCAGGGTCCCGCAGGTCCCCCCGGGGCGGTCATCACCAAGGAGGAGATGCTGGCAGAGTTCAGAACAATGGTGAAAGGTGAGTAGTGTTACAGGGACACCTCGCTAATATAGACGATGTCCTTTTCAGTGGAAAAGTCCTGATCTACCAAGTTATGGAATATTTAACCGGTTTGAATTGCGAGTACCGAGTTATGGTGGTTATGTTCATGTGGACGCAATGACTAGAAATAACAGTCCATATAAACAGAGTTTCGCTGTATTTGAAATGATTGTGTACAATCATTGGATAGCTGTATGTGATCCTTAAGTTAGTGAGTGAGTTTAGTTTAACGCCGCTTTGAACATGATTTCAGTTACTAGTATATCACGGCGGGAGTACATGGTAGGACTAACGCCCGAAGTGGTGCAGGTCTCAGACGTTGACCACTTTGGCGATATACCCGCGCGTGAGTATGGTGCTGTTAAACCTAGAAACATAAACAGGGCGATTCTTGGATTCGAACCCATGACCTATGGTTTCTGGCATGCCTAGGGACACGTGTCCGGTAAAATGACCATCTTTACCAATGTGTTGTTAAGCCAATACCCAACCTGACAGTTTAGATCGAAGTTTTCAAAGTCATTGTCGGTATTTTCCCTTCATAATGTCACCGTAACACAAAGGCAGACAAAAGTGTGATCACATAAGTTGGTGAACACCAATCATAACGCAAAGATGGACTGTATGTCATCAAAGATTCGTATACGACACACCAAACACTTGCCAAGACCGGTAGCTTGATGCCGTTTTAATGCCAATGGGGTCTCATTTTCCTCTCTCTTTGGTACATTATTATTCCTAAATGGAGAATAAACTTACCCACATATTGCTAAAATCATTATTTAATATGAAACAGCCCATTTAAACGTCAACAAAAGGTACAACATAACTTGCAAACAAAAATACAACAGTTTTGAATGATGTTCTTTAAAAATATAACAAATATCAATAACAATGTGATAAATATTGACAAAAGTGTTTTGAGGTATATTTTTAACTGTGTTTGAAACAAAAAGAGGGAAACAGACAAAACTCGTTCGTTTCGTCCGCTGGAGACCTTCCTCATTTTGTCTTCAACAAAAGTGTGACGTCATATCACATCAATGGCCACTGTTACAACGGCAACCAGCTGTGTTTGCAGATCACGGCTTGTCCCCTCTGCCGATATCGCTTTGATAACATAGTACCTGTTTATGTCTTTCTTAATTGCCATCGACCTGCGAAGGATTACAAACTGTAAAGACGCCGATATACCAATATTTGCCAACGACTGTTACAGTATTTGCTGTGATTGTTGCGGAAGTGTACCCCTTGTGGTGCCTAGACAGGCAAACTAATGGTCGCACATATGTCTTAACCCTCCTCCTACTGACAAGAGGTCCACAGTCCACTTGAACGATTCATTCGTAGACAATTCCATCCAAAGGACCAGTTCAGAAGTCCACCAATAATGGTTTGTCGTTCTGCATACCGCTAAAATGTTTGTTTTGCACACGACTCGTTTCTGGTAACTACAATATTTGATCTCGGATTTAAGTCCGGAAACGGAGTGTTTCAATGGTCAGTGGTTGTTTAGTCGGTAAGGTCTTGGAAACAAAACAACGTGACCGGACACTTGACGTTTGTATGGTGACGCTGACCTTACGTCATGTTGTCCCCAACGATGTAAGTAGAGTGGTCAATACTATATCTTACCGCTCCATATTTCTCATAAGAGTCGGGACCGCCTCCGTGGTCTAGTAGTAGAGCGTCCCCCGGAGAGCGGAAGGTCCGGGGCTCGATCCCCGACCGCGTCATACCACAAGACGTTAAAAGAAGGTACTTGTTGTTACCCTGTCTGGCGCTCGGCATTAAGGGGCTAAAACAAGGACTGGTCGGCTCGGAGTCAGTATACTGTGTCTGAGTGGGGTATTCATGTTAAACTGCGGCATGGTATATCAGTGAGCTAGCACTATTAATCGGCATCAGTCCGACTAGTACAAGCAGCCACACACACACGTACATGCACGTCGCTATATAAGTGCAATATTGCGTCCAATAATCGTGTTTACTTAACCAGCAACTTGGCCACTGAGCCTCAGCCACAATAGTATTATGAGGAGGAATGTTTGAGGTCTTGAGATGGACAAGAGCCGTACAAAGGTCGATGTTCCTCGAATGATCGATTCGTTGTGGAGCAAACAATTCTAAACATTAAACCATTTTTATAAACGATTAAACTGCACGACTCCTCGAAAAATATCTTTCGCGTTTTTCGCGTTAATCCGTGTTAACTTTGGTCCCCGGAACATATGATTGTCGTAAGAGGCGACTGGATGTATCGGGTGGTCAGGCTCGGTGACTTAATTGATTGCGCGTAATCGGACATTTTCCAGGTGGCAGGGATCGTTGCCCATTTTATTTTTTGTTTGTTTGTTTGTTGTTGTTTAACGTCGCACTCAGCAATATTCCAGCTATATGACGGCGGTCTGTAAATAATCGAGTCTGGATCAGGTAATCAAGTGATTGACATCATGAGCATCGATCCCCACAATTGGGATACGATTTGATGCATCAACCAATATCCGCGAGCCTCACCACCCGATCCCGTTTGACGCCCCTTACGACAAGAATAGTCGCCTGTTACAGCAAGCATGGGTTGCTGAAGACATATTCTACCCCGGATCCTCACGAGGGGAGGCTAGCATGGGTTGCTGAAGACCTTTTCTACCCCGGATCTTCACATTTATCCATCACTGAATTGTCTGGCCGAGACTTGTTTACACACAGTCGTACATCTGGAACACTGCTGAATGCGGCGTTCAACAACAATTAAAATAATCATTGTGTTGTAAAAATTATTCAAATGAAAAAAGTTTCAGTTGAAATATTATATTTGCACATACTGGATACTTTTGGATTTTGATCTGAGCCAGTCAAATGAAAACACAAAGAACACAATCTCCTGGAGATCAGATATTTTACTCCCGAGAAGAGTCTGTATCCCTAAAGATCTGAGAACATCGCCATATTAGGTCGCGCCAGGTGAAACCTGAGCGAACTTTGACCTCCCAATGTCAGTTTTCAAAAAACCGCCGCGAATCAAAATATCGATCTCTGCCAAGAAAACCGACACAGAATACAATATGCCCGCCAAAGAAACACGTTTGGGTATAGATGTCATGTTGTTCACAAACGACAATTATATAGAATATGCACATCTAAATTATAGCGCGGCATTATATTTTCGTGCTCAGATTTCCTCGATTATATTGGTTTCGCGAGTGGTCCTCCTGATTCGACCGCCGATGGAGGTGTGCTAAGATCTTGACCTGGGGATAGAGGTATCGTATCGGACTAAAATATACACAAAGAAAAATGTTAAGCACACCCTAATATATTTGATTATTGTTTGGTCCCAATATTTATAACAGTCATGAAATTTCGAGAGATGATGTAATCAGTCATGCGCGACGAAAGCTCACGTGCCATGCATGGTATGCCCGTGCACAAGCGGCAGTGTGATAGCCCAGTTGTTAAAGCCTTCGCTCGCCACACCGAAAACTGTTCGATTCTCCACATAGTTACGAAGTAAAGCCCGCTCAAGGTGTCCCCCGCTATGTCATAGGTGGGGCGGTCGGGTAGCCTTGTGGTTAAAGCGTTCGCTCGTCACGCCGAAGACCCGGCTTAGATCCTTGACATGGGTACAATTTGTGAAGCCCATTTCTGGTGTCCCCAGCCGTGATATTGCCGGAATATTGTTAAAAGCGGCGAAAAACCATACTCACTCACACACTATATCATACCCGAATAAAATGAATGAGTGGCGTTAAATCATTCATTCAATCACTCACTCACTCACTCACTCACTCAAGCCAGTGAGGGCTGGCCGTTGTGGATGTAAATTCGAACCCTCTATAATGATATTACCCGTTGCGAACAGCCCCGGTATCCATGAGGATACTGGCACACGACAGCACAGACTCCTCCTCCGGGCACGCCGGATACTCCAAGGTACTCTCCATCACGTGGCGTTTCTTGTTTGTAATATTTGCATATTTCTACTTTCTCGTGCTTATAAGATAATGATGTTCATGTTTACAGAGGCTGCGGAAAAGAGAGCAGAAGAATTATTAACAGAGAGAGTAAGTATTTCACGGTCAATCCTCGTTGTAAGGAGGAAATGGGATGCCACAAAAGTGGGTGGACAAGCAAGGGCGTTATATAGAGGGCAGTTAGTAAATCAATGAAACATCCACTGTTGATGTCATAGTAACTTATTTAATCACCATTCTGAAAATATGTTGGACTGTTCAAAAGTCATTTACTTCGCCACGAAGGTACATTTGTAACCAACAAAACCATTGAGAAACACATAAATTCCCGAGGATTTTTCTCTCCGAAACTGTTCCCATTCTATACCTACTTTGCGCGTCACCGCCGCCATTCCACGTGCTTTCTGTGTGGAACACGCGCCATGATAACCTTCTTAAAGGGTCACGTGAAATGTCGGCCGTAATCACGCTATGGCTGACAGTGCGAGAGTACCCGAGAACTCCAAAGACGTTTTCTGGTTAATTAATATCTCGAAAAGCATTTTCTACATGCATCCACTGATGTAAGTTTTCGGAGCCAATTTATTGCAACCACCGAGGTGGTGCCAGATTCGTTGATGAAGGAGCGAGATTAGTTGCCGTATTCACTCTAGTTACCGTAGTCACTATAGTTCTTGTAGTCACTGTAGTTGACCTAGTCACTCTAGTCACTGTAGTTGTCGTAGTCACTCTAGTCACTGTAGTTGTCGTAGTCACTGTAGTTGTCGTAGTCACTCTAGTTACCGTAGTCACTGCAGTTGTCGTACTCACTCTAGTTACCGTAGTCACTATAGTTCTTGTAGTCACTGCAGTTGACCTAGTCACTCTAGTCACTATAGTTGTCGTAGTCACTCTAGTCACTGTAGTTGTCGTAGTCACTCTAGTTACCGTAGTCACTATAGTTCTTGTAGTCACTGCAGTTGACCTAGTCACTCTAGTCACTATAGTTGTCGTAGTCACTCTAGTCACTGTAGTTGTCGTAGTCACTCTAGTTACAGTAGTCACTGCAGTTGTCGTAGTCACTCTAGTCCACGTAGTCACTGCAGTTGCCGTAGTCACTCTAGTTGCCGTATTCACTCTAGTTACCGTAGTCAGTTTAGTTGAGGTCGTCGCTCAAGTTACCGTAGTCACTCTAGTTGTCGTAGTCGCTTTAGTTACCGTAGTCAGTTTAGTTGAGGTCGTCGCTCTGATTGCCGTAGTCACTCTAGTTGCCATAATCACTCTAGTTACCGTAGTCAGTTTAGTTGAGGTCGTCGCTCTGATTGCCGTAGTCACTCTAGTTGCCATAATCACTCTAGTTACCGTAGTCAGTTTAGTTGAGGTCGTCGCTCTAGTTGCCGTAGTCACTCTAGTTGCCGTAGTCACTTTAGTTGCCGTAGTCACTCTAGTTACCGTAGTCAGTTTAGTTGAGGTCGTCGCTCTAGTTGCCGTAGTCACTCTAGTTGCCGTAGTCTCTCCTGCAGTATTCAGTCTAGTCACCGTAGTCAGTTTAGTTGCCGCGTTACATTTGGAAATATTCTCCACATGGCGAACATAAAACTTTTTGAAAGCTTAGATAAGCCTTGAATGTCGTAACCCTGATAAGGCACACTATTGATGCATCAGGAATTCTGCACATGGGAGATTACCGAAGTAGATACAGTAACAATCTTAGCATTTATCTTTGACATACGAAATACAAAAATATCAGTCTGAAAACCCGCACTGGTGGAAAGTCATGAAACGGCACGTCGTGTTTACGACCCTTGAAGCCAAGGCCGCCTCACTAATTACAACTGGTTTGATGTAGTGTCATATGCTAATACCCAATCCCCTATCGGCCAACCCTGCTGTATAGGGAGTGACTCGGGCGGGCAATATTCACAACCATAACTCCAGCGAGAGGTAACCCTGGTATCATATAATCAATCAAAGTCCCCCCCCCCCGAACAAAGATATCGAACGTTGTCTAATTATCGATCGGTGCTTATCCGCTCTTTGGGACATGGGGTTGCCTCAAGAACAAGCATGGACCAAATTAACACGCTTTTCATATTTCTTATCATAAGGCCTATGAATGCCACGGCTTTGATCAAAGAGTCATAAAGATCTCAGTTGCAGGGATGAGGTGATGGAATGACCAGCATCCTAGAATGGCTGTGTTCAAATTGGCGCCAAACTGTCGCCAATGTTTTGGCGCTCATATTGGGATGCCTATATATGCAAATGTATCCACAGATGTGTCGGCGACATGAAACACGGGGATTTAACACTTGTTAATTATGGGTTATTAAGACGAGAGATTGTTGTCTTAGTAATTGTGTAATAAAGCGATTATCGCTTCTTGTTCTCAACGCACAACTTGCAGATAAAACTTTATCATGGAGCTCGAGGCAAACATGAAACAGAAGGGATTCTTGAACGAGATGGACTGTAACTATTTCTTTCATTTACGAAACAATACGCAAACTACAATACGGGACTCAACCCCAAAAAGTACGAGAATGCGTACTTTACTGAGAAAGTGTTATCCAAAATATAACATTTGTTACATTTGACCACTTTCTAAATGGCATTGTATGTTAATAGTAAACACTGTGTTTCATAAAGGGATGATAAGTTTCATAAAGGGATGCTAAGTTTCATAAAGGGATGAAAGGTTTCCTAAAGGGATGATATGTCTCATTAAGGGTAGATGTCTTTCATTAAGAGATGGACCGCCGTCGTGGTCAAGTGGTAGACATTAAATATGGTACTTGTTGTTACCCTGCAGGGCGCTCGGCATTAAGGGGCTAAACAAGGACTTTCGGCTCGGAGTCAGCATACTGTGTTTGAGTGGGGTATTCATGTTACACTGCAGCATGATATCTGGGTGGGCTAGCACTATAAATCGGCATCAGCCCGGATTAGTACAAGCACACACACACACACACACACACACACACACACACACACGCGCGCTCTATCCACTACACCACGGAGGCAGTCCGGGCAGACACTCTACCCACTAACCAACGCAGGAGTTTTTCGCGCAGACACTCTACAATACTCCAATATTCATAAAACATAACTGAGCTGTTGTGCACTGACTTTAGGGGGGCGTGAGTGAGTGAATAGGTTGTAAGACGTCTTCAGCAATATTCCAACAACATCAGGGGGTACGGGTGCCTAGTGCAGAGTTGCGTCCCTTGAGCACGACAGAAACCTATGAATGTGGGTTCGAATCCCGGTTCGCCCCGATTATGTTTCTAGGTTTGTCAGCACCATACCCGTGTTCGTGGGTTTCACCGAAGTGGTAAACGTCTAAGACCTGCATCACTTGGGGCTTTCCTCCCACATAAAGCTGACACGCCGTGATATGACTGGAATACTGTTAAAAGCGGCGTTAAACACAGCTCTCACTAACTCTAACAACATCACAATATTAGACAGGAGAGAAATGTAAATTGTAGCTGATCGTATGCATCTGTCTTGATTCTCTGGTATATGTTAAACATTGACGTTCAGTGAAACCATCACATTGTTTTGTTTGTTGCAGTGCGAAGCCTGCAGTTCCCTCCTGAACGGAAGTTACGTATTACCACCGGAAGTGGATGAGGTGCTGCTCGTACCACGGGTCACAGTGGCATTCCACATGCGCCTGCGCAGTAACATCATCGTTGCTCGGAGGACTTTTATGGAGCTGAAAAATTTTCACCAGGTGACTCTTTCTTATCTAGATTCTAGAAAATGTCCATGGCCAAAATTGTCTTAAGGATGGGCTAGAGGTGGGGTAACCTCGTGGCTAAGGCGTTCCCCCGTCACGAACGGGTTTGATTCCCCAAATGGGAACAATGTGTACAGTCCGTTTCTGGTTATGTTTTGTGAATGCAGGAAATTACCTCACGAGACCAGTTGGTGAGTATATAATACAGGTGATGCCTAACTTATCCCAATAAGTGGTCGGAGGATCACAGGTGTTTGTCCAAGACAAATATCAAAGATCTTTGTTTCATTTACAGCCAGCTTACGATTGATTTGAGTTATACATTATAAAAAATTGTAAGGTTTGATCCCCTCCCAGGGTCCGAAATGGGGGAGCGAAGTAATTCAAGTGTTGGTTCGTCACACCGAAAGCCCGGGTTTCATTCCCCACATGGTTGCAACAAGTGCATCCCAGCTCTGGAGTCTTTCCTGTGAAGTCGCTGTACTATTTCTAAAGGTGCCGTCAAACCTTATCACTCACTCACTCACCAGGGCTTCGATTCTTCAAATGGACTAAATGTGTGAAGCCCGTGCTTAGTGTTACGTCATCATACTACCGTCGTATCATATTCCACTGGCCACATGACAAGACTTGCATCTTAACAATACACCCATTTCAACAGTAAATAATAATAATATCAAAATAAATATTATTATTAATGATAATAATTATAAATAAAATAGTTCCTGTGACACCAATATTGTAGTGGATTTTTCAAACAAGTAAAGTTTGGTTTTCAATATTGTAGTACATATGTGGATTCAAGGTCACAAAAACGCACAGAAAAGCATGCATTCCATGCAAAAGTTGACTTTTATGCAAGCCCCATGCATTTCACTACCCAAGAATGGATATAAAAACATGTGCGTTAACGGGATTCCATATGCATTGTTTAGCATCGTGCTGACAACAACACCAAGAAAAACAACAAAATTACGCAATTATTCAACATTACGAAATGCCACGCCCGTCCGAAAATGAGCGTCTGCGAGCCATTGTTGTGCTTGAAGCAGGATCGAGTCAACGTGATGTTGCAAGACAATTTAACGTCCACAGAAACACCATTTGGTGTTTAAGGCAACGTTGGCAACAGACGAATGCAGTCAGAGACCATCCTCGAAGTGGCAGGCGACGCGTAACCAATATTTGACAACTGGATTCGAACAACACACCTACGAAATCGATCCAGCCAGCAACAGTCACCGCAAGAAGTATACCTAGCCTTCGACGAATATCTTCACAAACCGTACGTCGTCGCCTCAGATGCGCCAGAAGACCCACCAGACGTACCATTTGGGCAGGAAACCACCGTCAAGCACGCCTACAGTGGTGCAGACAGCGTCTACGCTGGACGGCCATGCAGTGGGGACAAGTTCTACTCTCTGACGAGTCTCGTTTTCACCTCATCTACAGCGATGGACGGATTCGAGTGTACTGACGTCGAGGTGAACGTTACGTCAATCATTGTGTTATGGAAGAAGATCGGTTCGGGGGCGGCAGCGTAAGGTATGGGGTGGGATTACAGCAAGACAGAGGACCCTTTCATAGTGGTAGAGGGAAATCTCAATGGACAGCGCTACCGCGACGAGATTATCGGCCCTGTTGGTCTACCGTTTTTGCGTCGTCATGGCCCAGGTATTACCTTTCAACATGACAACGCCCGTCCTCATATTGCTCGACTTGTTCAGGATTCTTTTCAACAAAACAACGTGAATGTCATCCCCTGGCCAGCTCGCTCCCCTGATCTCTCACCAATCGAGCACATGTGGGATGAGATGGATCGGCGCCTTCGACGTCAACCACGTGTTCCACAGACACTCCAGGAACTTCGAAACATGCTCCAGCAGATATGGACAAATTTCCCACAGGACTTTGTGCGACGCCTGGCCCATTCCATGAGACGAAGATGTGTTGCTTGCATCGCAACCAGAGGTGGACACACACGTTATTGATTTGTAAATTGACATTTTGACATGTTCATGGTTTTCTTATGAAATCATGCATTTTCTGAAGTCAGTATGGCAAATTAAACCATTTGAACACTTACAGGAGTCTTTTGGGGCGGTCGGGTAGCCTAGTGGTTAAAGCGTTCGCTCGTCACGCCAGAGACCCGGGTTCGATTCCCGACATGGGTACATTGTGTGAAGCCCATTTCTGGTGTCCCCCGCCGTGATATTGCTGGGATATTGCTAAAAGCGGCGTAAACTCACTCACTCACTCACTCACTCACTCACTACAGGAGTCTTTTATCTGTTGCAAACCGAATTTGTTTCAGATTTAGTAAAAAAACATAACTTTGCTTTAAATTTTATCCAATGTCACAGGAACTTTTGTTCAGTAAATATAATTGGATAGAGTGTCTACGTCAAAAGCGCTTTGCTTCTTGTAATTCACTTGAATTTGGCGCTTCGAGAACTTCCCCTGATTCCTACGCGGCGCCGGTGTATGTGCCAGCAGCGAGACTGCTTTTCACAACGTCTGTGGTCTTGGTTTAAATTCACTGTCAGTATTAAAAGAAAATAAAGGCACAACGATTTGACAATAAAGTTTATGTCGTTGAGAGTTCACACTTTCCTCGTGTTCAGTGCAGTGCATTAAGTGTTTGCTCTTGTTGATAAATATAGTTCTCAAACGAAGTAGAAACTTTCAGAAATTAAGTCAGTGGCGCCATACTTGTTTGCAAAACTGGAACAATCGTTGTAAAAGTAGATTATTTTGGCATTGCCATGCTACACTGTGTATTTGTAAAGCATGTGAGTGCGGTCGAGTTGCCACACTGTTAATCGGAACATCTCGCCTCTGTGACACGAATCGCACACTGACGAAGATTTACAACCTTAAGTGTCTATAAAATCCAGTCCAATCTGCTGGTTCACGATCTGCGCGTGTCTACAGCTACTTCCGCTCAGGATCGGTAGCACGTGACGCGCGACGGTTGTGTCAAATGGTGATCCGGACCTCTGGGAACGGATCAGGATTGGATCGACAACTTTGGTGAAGCGTACTTTTAGAAGCGCTATCCATTTTAGCGATGTCTGCGTTAGTTTGCAAATAATCACTCCGCCTGAAGCTTAGCAGGTTTCTCTTCTCAATCGTAACAGATCAACAACTGCGCCAGATACATGGATTACACAGAGGGCTTATAAATCAGGCAGCAGTAGCCCCTCTCCACATAGCCCTTGAACATGTACCAGCCACGAGGGCTGTCGGATGTGGAGGGCCCAATAAAACACTGGTAATTCACACATGGGGGTGATAAGAGCCATGGCTAGCGGAGAGTTTGATAGAACTATCCTTGTGCCCGAGGCAACCCTTCTCAACTTGATACCAACGTTGGCCTTTGAAATGTTGATGTAATACATAAACAAATCTAATGCGGATGTTGGAGAAATCACTGGATTGATTAACGACAAAATAATAGTTTAAGCACCATTTTGCAATGTATGACTGTCAATTTAGACAAAGGGCGGTAGATGGTTGATGAACATATCGACAGACAGTTGCCATGGAACCACGATGCATGGACACGTCAACAATCGAGTGAATGAATATGTGAGTGAATGTGTAATTGAACCACGTGATTTACCTGCATCATTGTCTGAGACACTAGACCAAAGCACGGGGTGAATGATTGATTGAGGGGGCTGTGAATGAATGATTGAGGGGGTTGTAAATGAATGATTGAGGGGGCTGTGAATGATTGATTAAGGGGGTTGTGAATGAGTGATTGAGGGGGTTGTGAATGATTGATTGAGGGGGTTGTGAATTAGTGATTGAGGGGTTGTAAATGAATGATTGAGGGGGTTGTAGATTACTGAACGAGGGAGTTGTAGATTACTGAATAAGGGGGTTGTGAATGAATGATTGAGGGGGTTGTGAATGAATGATTGAGGGGGTTGTAGATTACTGAACGGGGGGGGGTTATAGATTACTGAATGAGGGGGTTGTGAATGAATGATTGAGGGGGTTGTGAATGAATAATAGAGGGGGTTGTGAATGAATGATTGAGGGGGCTGTGAATGAATGATTGAGGAGGTTGTCAATGAATGATTGAGGGGGTTGAGAAAGTGATTCAGGAGGTTGTAAATTACTGATTGAGGGCGTTGTAAATGAATGATTGAGGGGTTGTAAATTCATAATTTAGGGGATTGTGAATGAATGATTGAGGAGTTTGTAAATTACTGAACATGGGGGTTGTGAATGAATGATTAAGGTGGTTTAAAATGAATGATTGGGGGATTGTACATTACTGATTGAGGGGTTGTAAATTACTGATTTAGGGGTTGTGAATGAATGATTGATTGAGGGAGTTATGAATGAATGATTGAGGGGGTTGTAAATGAATAATTGGGAGTCTTGTGAATGAATGATTGAGGTTGTAAAATTAATGATTGAGGGGATTGTGACTGAATGATTGAGAGGGTTGTGAATTAATGACAGAGATTTGTGACTGGATGATTGATTGATGGTGTATGAATGAATGATTGAGGGGGCTGTGAATGATTGATTTAGAGGGCTGCAAATGAATAATTCTTTAGTGTAGTGAGTGTGCTTGAGATGAATGAAGGATTCTTTAGTGTAGTGAGTGTGCCTGAGATGGATGAAAGATCGATTAGTGCACGTGTTGAGTGTGTATGTTTGAGATGAATGAAGGATTCTTTAGTGTATTGAGTGTGTTACCCATGGACGAAGGATTTATTAGTGTCGTGAGTGTGTTTGAGATGTATGAAGGATTGATTAGTGTCGTGAGTGTTTGAGATGTATGACGGATTGATTAGTGTAGAGAGTGTGTTTAAAATGTATAAAGGATTGATAAGGGTAGAGAGTGTGTTTAAAATGTATAAAGGATTGATTAGTTTAGAGAGTGTGTTTAAAATGTATAAAGGATTGATTAGTGTAGAGAGTGTGTTTAAACTGTATAAAGGATTGATTAGGGTAGAGAGTGGGTTTAAACTGTATAAAGGATTGATTAGGGTAGAGAGTGTGTTTAAACTGTATAAAGGATTGATTAGGGTAGAGAGTGTGTTTAAACTGTATAAAGGATTGATTAGTGTAGAGAGTGTGTTTAAACAGTATAAAGGATTGATTAGTGTAGAGAGTGTGTTTAAACTGTATAAAGGATTGATCGGTGTAGAGAGTGTGTTTGAGATGTATGCAGGATTGATCGTTGTAGAGAGTGTGTTTGAGATGTATAAAGGATTGATTAGCATAGTGGGTGTGTTTAAGGTGTATAAAGGATTGATTAGTGTAGTGAGTGTATGTTTCAGATGAATGAAGGATTGATTAGGGTAGAGACTGTATTTGAGATGAATGAAGGATCAATTAGGGCAGAGAGTGTGTTTGAGAAGTATGAAGGATTGATAAGTGTTGAGAGTGTGTTTGACCTGGACGAAGGATAGATTAGTGCAGAGTGTGTGTTTGAGATGAATGAAGCAAAGATCAGTGAGTGTTAGTTCGTGCATGTGTCTCTCCCATATTGTTTGGTTCCGAATTGGAATACCGCCAACAGTTGTGTCTTGACTTATGACAGACCTTTCAAAGCTTCTTTTCATATAGAAAAATAAAGTTTGAAGAAAATAACGATCATTGACACACCAGACAAGTCGGAACCGCGAGGGGAGCTGAGAGGATTTTGAGTTCAGGCCACCCTGTCCCCGTAAGACATCATGGCTGTTTTAATTGGCATTATTCGATGCTTCTGTGCGATTTTAAGAACGCTTCCGTTAAGTGCCGAGAATGATGTATGACAACAACATGACGTGGACCCTAAATAATTGAATCTGGACCAGACAGGCTACCGATTGATGTTATGAACAATACGATTTACGTAACGGGGTACGCTGTTTTACCAACCGGGGTACGTTGTAATACGAACCGGGGTACGTTGTATTACGAACCGGGATACGCTGTTATACGGACCGGGATACGCTGTTATACGGACCGAGGTACGTTGTATTACGAACCGGGGAACGTTGTATTACGAACCGGGATACACTGTTTTACGAACCGGGGTACACTGTTTTACGAACCGGGATACACTGTTTTACGAACCGGGGTACACTGTTTTACGAACCGGGGTACACTGTTTTACGAACCGGGGTACACTGTTTTACGAACCGGGGTACACTGTTATACGGACCGGGATACACTGTTTTACGAACCGGGGTACACTGTTTTACGAACCGGGATACACTGTTTTACGAACCGGGATACACTGTTTTACGAACCGGGGTGCACTGTTTTACGAACCGGGGTACACTGTTTTACGAACCGGGGTACGTTGTATTACGAACCGGGATACACTGTTTTACGAACCGGGGTACACTGTTTTACGAACCGGGGTACGTTGTATTACGAACCGGGATACACTGTTTTACGAACCGGGGTACACTGTTTTACGAACCGGGGTACGTTGTATTACGAACCGGGATACACTGTTTTACGAACCGGGGTACACTGTTTTACGAACCGGGGTACACTGTTTTACGAACCGGGGTGCACTGTTTTACGAACCGGGGTACACTGTTTTACGAACCGGGGTGCACTGTTTTACGAACCGGGGTACGTTGTAATACGAACCGGGGTACACTGTTTTACGAACCGGGGTGCACTGTTTTACGAACCGGGATACACTGTTTTACGAACCGGGGTGCACTGTTTTACGAACCGGGGTGCACTGTTTTACGAACCGGGGTACGTTGTAATACGAACCGGGGTACGTTGTAATACGAACCGGGGTACACTGTTTTACGAACCGGGGTACGTTGTTGGGGGCAGTTCTAATGTATGTCACGTGTTCAACTCTATGTGCGGCAAGGGGCAGTCAGATGGGCGCGGTCTAAGACGTTGACCATGTCAATGTGTGGGTATGGTGCCGACGGGCCAAGGGTCATAGCCGGGGTGAATCTGACTTTCGAACTAAGATAAGTGGATCCTGGCTCGACTAGGGTACACAACTCTTCACAGCAAGTGGTTGCGCTTTGGACCACTTGGATACCCATGCCACTAGCGATATCACGACGCTTTATTGTTTCTTGCATGTAACTGACTTCGAGATGGCTGTATATTCGTTAGAGCCGAAGTTGACGATTATGTTTAAGTGCACATGACGATGTCAATGGCCAGACAGAAATAGGTCGGCCCTGGCTTCTCACATTTTAAACCATCTCTGATAAGCATAAGTGTTTTTCACATATGTTTCAAAACGTCCGCAGAGAAGGAATTACTACATAATTATCAATGAACGAAACCTGGACATATAGTAAAACACCTCTTCAATTCACTTACATGTGACGAACGCTGCATTTACAATTTTGCAGCACTTGGGGATGTGAAAAAATCTTCAATAAATAGCAAAAAATGGCTTTTCATTAATAAAACCAGTCATTAGTGTAAGCTGCGCAGTATGTCATTAGCGGTTTTCAATTTCAACCCCGTGACGAGTTATCTCCCACTGCACGTGCAAACCAGGAAGCGTTCGTTAAAGGTAAAAATCCGTCATAAAGCAGGTGTTTCAACATCGCAAGCAGGGAGGGGCAGCCATGCTGGTTTAAGGAGAGTTTAAAATACGGTAAATTGAAACCAGTGGTTGGTAAAGCACCCTTCCTTATGAGAGACACGCTGTCGTTAACGGGAAGCTCGTGTGTGCTCGAAAATAGAACACTGACCGACGAAAGGTTGCGCTGCATGTTTGTATACAATCCAAACGTGCTAAACAAATATTAGCTCGCATGTAATATGTGAGTGGAAGTTCAACAGTATTACGTCAGCTCTAGACCTTGCTGAATCGTACTCGCTAACCGGGTAATATAAGTTAAATAGATAAATATGTAGGTATGCGGGAATGTGTGACTACATGTGTGAACGGCCGGTTTGACACGAGGTCTTATTACATCGTTCCTTGATTGAAACAAGCGATGGTGTCACCTGTCACTGAGGGGCAGAAGAAACTATACCAAGTATGTTTTTTTAAGTAATGAAAAATTGAAAGAACAGTTTTTTGTCTATATAACCAGCACTCATTCCAGTTTGTAAACAGTATTCTATGGCTGGGTAAATTTGTGAAAAAATAAATTGGTTCAATAATAAAATGATATAAAATGAATTTGCAACCACTTGACCACTACCATTTTTGAAAACTTGTCTGCGTCAGAACATGTTGGGTTTACGGACTAAATTTTGTTTGATAGGCATTACTTAGAAGTTGACGGATGACAAGGTAGACACAATTTTATGGATAACAACTTCTTTAATACTGTAAAAAGCGACGATTCGGTATAGATCCTTATACCGTTGTCAAGCCGTTTTTTTACGGACTACTCTGGTTTCACAGCATCTTCCTCCGTCTCAGTCTCTAGGTCATCACCCGCCCCCTGTTGGTCTCTCGTGACTATGAAGATGCTCGAGGCAAAGAGTTGAACATTATCGAAGTTTGAGTGAATATTAGAAACAAATGCTTGTACCCAAATTAACATTACTACCTCGGTCAGTGCGAGTGTTAAACAAAACAGCTCACCAAATACAGTTGTGGGCTAAAAGTAGATCAAGCGAATTATTCCAATAACATATCACCCTCAGAACTCGTCTCGACACAGGGTAAGAAGGTGAGGTGAAATTGGGTTTAACGCCGCGTCCAAGATTATTGTACTTATATAGCGACGTGTATGCACGTGTGTGTGTGTGTTTGTGTGGCTGCTTGAACTAGGCCGAACTGATGCCAATTTATAGTGCTAGCACACTGAGATACTATACGGCAGTTTAACATGAATACCCCACTCAGACACAGTATACTGACTCCGAGCCGACTAGTCCTTGTTTTAACCCCTTAATGCCGAGCGCCAGACAGGGTAACAACAAGTACCATCTTTTAACGTCTTTTGGTATGACGCGGCCAGGGATCGAACCCCGGATCTTCCGCTCTCCGGGCGGACGCTATACCACTTGACCACGGAGGCGGTCTTCATGGTTAGAATGGTCCACAAGTGAAATCATCACACAAATATAAAATGCAAACTTTTAACGCCGCACTCAGCATTATTCCAGCCATATGACGGCGATCCGAAAATCATCGAGTCTGAACCTGACAATCCAGTGCTTGAAGTCATGAGCATCGATCTACGCCATTGGGTAAAGATGACATGCATCAACCAAGTCAGCGAGTCTGACCAACCGATCCCGTTAGTTTCCTCTCGCTTCAAGCACAGTCGCCCCTCAGGACAAACAAACGGATCTTTTCGGGACAGCATGTTTCTAAGGGTGGTGTGTGGAGAGATCACTACTCTTGCGTGGCATATTGCTTACATAATGATAGACAGTATTAGCGTGGTGGGGTAGCCTAGTGGTTAAAGTGTTCGCTCGTCACGCCGAGAGCCCGGTTTCGATCATCCACATGGGTATAATGTGTGAAGCCCTTTTCTTGTGTCCCCGCCGGGATATTTCTGAAAGCGGCGTAAAACTATACTCACTTGTACCCCAGTTCGGACATGAACATAACGTCACGAACCTTGATTTCCTTAAAACACCGAGTGTTTTGCGTTGCAATGACGTAAACAAATAGAATTGTTCCCGAATGTATTTTTGTTGCGTTATGTCTGCGATACGTAAGTCAATACATTTTGTTTTATATTAGTTTATTTATTCATATGCTTTCAGCCGTTTGGTGGCGGGGCTTTCCACAGAGGGGATGTCTTCAACGCCCGAGACGGCCGCTTTGTGGCACCACGTGATGGGGTCTACCACTTTGCTGCTAATTTGCATATTCAAATCAAGAAGAAGGGTCGAGGCAGCAAACGTTTGAGGAAGCGGGACAACATCAAGGTCCAAGTCTGCATAGACTCATTGTGCCAGAAAAACACGTAAGTAGAATCACATCTGAAAATCATCGTACTTTCATTACTGTTAAAATAGGTCTTCAGCAACCCATGCATGCCGTTAAAGGCGACTAAGCTTGTCGTAAGAGGCGACTAACGGATGGGATGGTCAAGCTCGCTGACTTGGTTGATGCATGTCATCGTATCCCAATTGCGTGGATCGATGTTCATGATTGGGGAGAGAAGCGTTCTTAAAATCATTTCCTTGAAATTAGGTGAGGTGAAATATGGTTTAACGTCGCACTACAGATAATTGCGCTTGTATTACGACGTGCGTTGGTGTGTTTGCGTACTTGTACTTGTCCGGACTGAGATACAATACTACATTTTAACGTGAATGCCCCACGCACAGACAGCATACTGACTCCGAGTTGACTGGGCGGTACTGGGGGGGGACTCTGGGGGCGATTGTACACGTACTTTGGAATCCAACCATCAGAGTGAGTTTGGTTTGAGGCCGTTTTAACAGTATTTCAGTTATATAGCGGCGTGTCAGCTTAATGTGGGAGGAAAGCCCGAAGTGATGCAGGTCTCAGACTTGCCCCACTTTCGTGAAACACACCAGCACGGGCATGGTGCTGATAAACCAACATACAGAATCGGGGCGAACCAGGATCATACGTTTCTGGTGCGTCCAACGGACGCAACACTGCACAACCAATTGCGGCGCCTTAGACGACTGGGCCACCCGTGCCTCTGGCAGTTACAGTGAGTGACGCCACTTTGAACATTATCTCAGTTATGTCATTGTGTGCCAGATCGATTTGGGGAGAGACGTGCTCAAGGTCTTAACTATTTACCGTTTTGTGAAACCCAGAAACTGGTGCTGGCAAATCCAGGACCATAATGAGAACGAATCTAGGATTTGAAACGGCCATCAGCGGACCCCCGGTTAAGGGAGGCAAATCTAAACAACGGTTTGCGGCGCCTTTGCCACTGGGCCACCTGAAAGTGTTTAACTTGTAAGGAACTATATGTGTCGACGCTGTTGCGGGTGTGCCCCCGCTGTTGTTACTGTTGCTGTTTAATCATTTCAGGTCCCTCGAGTACGTAACGGGTCTCGAGACCAACAGCAAGCTCTTCACAACCAGCGTCAGTGGACTGTTGGAACTAAAGGTCAGTCATTGGAATATAAAGGTCAAGGTCAAAGTAAATTTTCTTGGCCAAAAGCCGAGTAAATAGCACGCATTTGATACTTCATTTGTACCTATCAGTTATGTCTCTTTTTTTAAAGAATGAACTCTCCTCAGATTTGTCAGCGCCGGTTTAAATTACAGCCTCGTTCTCGTTTCAGGCCGGGCAGTATGCATCAGTCTACATGGATAACTCTTCCGGTATCGTTGTCAGGATACAGAACGGATCAGACTTTACTGGGATTCTCTTCGGCGTTTAGCAGTGCATGCCGGGACATGTGACGTCACTACCTCTTTGACATTTTGTCATGAATCTGAGCAGAAACAATTTCAAGATCACGTGACTTGGCACGTCGTTTAACACTGCTGCATTTACCTCGTATCGCGGTTCCCCAAAGGTTGTGAAAGGATTGTCACGTGATCGACCTTTGCTGCTCTTTCCGGCTGCTGGTGATATACAACATGGCCTCCGACCAGGTTACGATTGTTTTGTCTGTATATTGTTGAGCTAGTCCATGTTGTGTGAAGGCGAGAAAGAACACCTTGATGGTTACTGATCACATGACAAAACAGGTGACTTGAAGGTTGATCACATATGGACATGAACTGCCAGAAAAGGTCATGGTGATTCTTGATGGGTGTTTTGAATTCAGATTGACCGTGAAGTTAAAGAAGAATGAATTTAAAGAATACATATCAAGTTCTTAACAATCACAAACGAACGTGTGGAACTCCCCTGGTTGAAATCGACGAACCCTTGTTGATGTGTGTCGGGCAGTCAAGTTGTTTAGGTTCACGGTTCGACACCAAATCATGACGCAAAGCTAGGCACGAGGACTGTTGCCTATGTGAACAATGACTTATAAGCCAGGTGTTGTGAATATTCAGTTCTACGTATATAGCGACATTTTGACATCACCGATGTATCTACTTTCATCTGCCTTACATCAGTAGCCCGAAGCTTCAGGCCACGTTTCTATGGCGACTATAATGGTATTCCTTCGTGATAGTATTCCTTGATAAATCCGCAAAGTAGAGTTGACAGTGAACAGGAAGTAATATGCGTCCGTGACACTATCAAAAAACACAAAGTTCGTGAAATTAAGTTTTTAAAGAACGCCAGTTACGGGATCTGAAGTTTCGGACTACTTCAATGTCCCGACTCCATGTGACGTTTATATATTTCTGTACTCTGAGTCATCGGTTAATAGAATGCATGAACACGTGATTTATGACCTTCTTTAGTGATTGTATAAAACTATTTATTGTCATAGGAATTACCGTGCTTTGCGTTGTTTTGTTTTTAATAACTTAAAGAGATCGCCTACCCTAAACTCTTTAACCCTGGGGTCGCTGACAGCGACAAAGTGAATGAGTAAGTATAGTTTTACGCCGTTTTTAGAAATTGGCATTCCGGTAATATCCAGCAGAAAAAGGGCTGCACACATTGTACCCATATAGGGAATCGAATCTGGGCCTTCGGCGTGACGAGCAAACGCTTTAACCACAAGGCTACCCCACCGCCCCCGACATAAGAGAGCGAGTGGGGCCTGACGCCACTTTGTTGGCTTAATTTGGGGGGAAAGCCAGAAGTCATGCAGGTTCGAAGCGTTATGGTGCAGGCACACCAAGCATCGTGATAGGGTTGAATCTGGAAGAGGTATTTTCATGTTTTCTGAAATATTACCAGTGATTGTACTTAATTTTAATTTAATTTTTAATGCTTAATTTTACCGTCAAAGAAAAGTTAGAAGAGTGATCTCCCCTAGACTGTTTATCACGACATGAGCTTCATTTTGAACAAATGAATTATCAAACTAAATACTGATCCTGTCCTCACCTTCATTATGACGTGGTGTCTTGGCATCGTCGGAATTTTCGTGTGAGGAAGTATTTTTCGAGTATCTCACTGAGTGAGTTAGGTTTAAGGCCGCTTTGTAAAGTATTTCAGTTATACCATGGCGAGTCAGCATGATGCGAGGCGAGTTATGCAGATGTACGGCATAGATCAATATGGTGAATCCCATCAGGACATGAATAGCTCTCAAAACCAAGAATCGAACAAATCTGGAATTCGATCTAGGATCATAATTAAATAGGACGCACTCTTCACAGCGAATTGTGGCCGTACCCTGCCCGTACGCGCACTGGAACACGGTCGAGTAATGGTAGATATGGACGGTTTTGTACTGACTGCACGTGCCTGGAACACGCTCGAGTAATGGTAGATATGGACGGTTTTGTACTAACTGCACGTGCCTGGAACACGCTCGAGTAATGGTAGATATGGACGGTTTTGTACTAACTGCACGTGCCTGGAACACGCTCGAGTAATGGTAGATATGGGCGGTTTTGTACTAACTGCATGTGCCTGGAACACGCTCAAGTAATGGTAGATATGGACGGTTTTGTACTAACTGCACGTGCCTGGAACACGCTCGAGTAATGGTAGATATGGACGGTTTTGTACTAACTGCACGTGTCTAGAACACGCTCGAGTAATGGTAGATATGGACGATATTGTACTAACTGCACGTGCCTCGAACACGCTCGAGTCATAGTAGATATGGACGGTTTTGTACTAACTGCATGTGCCTGGAACACGCTCAAGTAATGGTAGATATGGACGGTTTTGTACTAACTGCACGTGCCTGGAACACGCTCGAGTAATGGTAGATATGGACGGTTTTGTACTAACTGCACGTGTCTAGAACACGCTCGAGTAATGGTAGATATGGACGATTTTGTACTGACTGCATGTGCCTGGAACACGCTCGAGTCATAGTAGATATGGACGGTTTTGTACTAACTGCACGTGTCTGGAACACGCTCGAGTAATGGTAGATATGGACGGTTTTGTACTAACTGCACGTGCCTGGAACACGCTCGAGTAATGGTAGATATGGACGGTTTTGTACTAACTGCACGTGTCTAGAACACGGTCGAGTAATGGTAGATATGGACGGTTTTGTACTAACTGCACGTGCCTCGAACACGCTGGAGTAATGGTAGATATGGACGATTTTGTACTAACTGCACGTGCCTGGAACACGCTCGAGTAATGGTAGATATGGACGGTTTTGTACTGACTGCATGTGTCTGGAACACGCTCGAGTAATGGTAGATATGGACGGTTTTGTACTAACTGCACGTGTCTGGAACACGCTCGAGTAATGGTAGATATGCACGGTTTTGTACTAACTGCACGTGTCTGGAACACGCTCGAGTAATAGTAGATATGGGCCTTCTCGTACAAACCCAGATGAAATTATTAATTATACCAATTCAGGTTAAATGCCCGCGGTCCGTAACATCACGTTGATACACACGGAGACCGCTGAAAACTCACAACCTCCGGACACAGCTGTACATGCACTGAAGTATACCCACCTAGGATTTATAAATACAATAACATAAGCTGACAACATACGTATCACATTTATTGATATCAACTTTGATAATATATACTTGATTGGAACAATAGAACAATAGTATGTTTTAATACAACAATGGTTATCGAACAGCGACAATGTATTGATATAATACAAACAATTCAGCGTCCATACACTTTTATACCACACGCTAATGGTAGGCCTTGTAAAAGCTTTATTTCGTTACGGTTCGAGTAACATTTTCATAGACACATAGATATGGGCGTGCAGATATTGCCAATGCTGTTTTATTAATATGATCAGAGAATCTCCCCTTCAACATCCACTACGAAGCATACGTAACGCCCTGTATATTACTTCAATGCTTCAATAGATGTACTTCAGTTCCATTACTGCAGCTGGTGCCACCTACTTTTCTGATATTTGTGCGTTTTGTTTCATATTTTTGTTTTTCCTTTCTGAAAAAAAGCATATTGAAACATAACACAAAAATGATGCGTGAGTGAATTTGGCGCCGCTTTAGTCCCTGTTTCGGTTACAGTGAATTTTGGTTAACGCCAATTCAAACAGATGTCAACAAGTCAGTAAATAGCTAACACCAACTTCAGTTATTTTGTTTGTTGATATACGCTGCACTCAGCAATATTCCAGCTATATAACGGCGGCCTGTAAAAAAATCGAGCATGGACAAGACAATCTATGAACGACGAACCACGCTGCTGGGTGCGATGACACGCAATCACCCAGGTAACCGAGCCTGATCCTCCCACACCACACCACACCCCACCCCACCCCACCCCACCCCACCCATACGGCCGTTGATGGGGATCAGTTCTTACCCGGAATCCTGAAACACATGATGGGAGCTAGAGGGCTAATATTTCGGGCTGGAACCATTTTATGTTTATGACGTTACTTGTGAATCTCGACAGAAGAATCTAAAGAACGAGAATAAATAGGAGCTTTCCGGCGGAATTGTGAAATGTCAACTGTTTTCATATAGATGCTATAAATATGTTGTTTGACACGAAAAGCCAAACGCCCCATTCACTGTGTGTTGGCATACCTAATCTCAGTCAGCTCTGAATATAATGGCGTCACTGCGTCGGACAGACAGTACTTCCGACACAACGTGACGCCTGACTGACTGATATACGGTATTATTGTATACCTGAGTGGATTGTATGTCGACTTTGATTTTACATAAATATAAGATGTCTTCACTAAATACATTCTGCATACTATACTCCGTGAATGGGAAAAAATAAATATCTTGACATTTCCACCGATTTGTGCTGACTGCACGTGTCCACTGTTGCGACTTGTATGTAGCTAAATATCCGAAATTTGCATGGACCTAGAACATATTTCCGACTGCGTCAAGATTCAACAGCAGCCCCTCTGTAGCAGCAAACCATCTCCGTTAACAACCTGTGAAAACAGACCACACCAAAATGAGACACATTTATAAATGATTTATTTTCACTTTCCTCCTAACACGCCCCATCTTAGAATTGCTCTTGACGGGCAAACCCGACCTGAGAAAACAAAACCCATGCGAAAATGACGTACATGTCCAGAACGTTGTATGACAGGGCGTGGGTTCGAATCCCGGTTCGCCCCGATTATGTTTCTAGGTTTGTCAGCGCCATACCCGTGCTCGTGGTAAACGTCTGAGACCTGCATCACTTCGAGCTTTCCTCCCACACATACATATATATATTGATAAGGGCCCTTAGATAAAACTGATAGATTCACTTTCACGTTCCTACAAACACGCCCCATCTTAGAATTGCTACTTGACGAGCAGACCCGACCTGACTTGTCAGAAAACAAAACCCATGCAAGTCAATGATAGTTTGCATAGGCCAGATGTCGGCAGAGTCTTATGTGAAGCCGATGTCCTGTCGAATATGCTTCTATGCTTTATGTGCTAACTGTCGAGTATTCGAAAAATATATAAATATTGATAAAGGCCCTGAGATAAAACTGTTTGTTTTATTACTTTAATATGTACAAAGAGGATCACCCCGACCTATATCCGCAATGTTTATGCTAACAGGTTTTCAAGTTTTAAGTTGTTGTTTCAATCAGGCAAACTACTGGTTGACTAACGCCGTTGAATAACTGTCAATGCCGCCGTGTTTGATGATACACAATCAACCAGGTCGCACATTGTAGCCAGCCAATCCTCATGTAACCCTCTGTGGATTATACCCGTTACGAGTGAGTGAGTTTGATTTTACGGCGCTTTTAGCAATATTCCAGCAATATCACGGCGGGGGACACTAGAAATGGGCTTCACACATTGTACCCATGTCGGGAATTGAACCCGGGTCTTCGGCGTGACGAGCCAACGCTTTAACCACTAGGCTACCCGACCGCCCCTGATGTCGCTCGAATACAACCAACTCGATTTGGTGAGCTCTTGCCACCTGGATGACGTCAATGGACCTATTCAGTAATCCACGCAGGTATACATTTGATTCCTTGCGTTATTGACCCGCCAACTGTACATTGTGTTAAAGAAGGGGGAACAAATCGGCATTTGCTCTATTCTTATCCCGCCGAAAAGCTGATAGCATATTACACCAAACAATATTGTCTGAACAAGGACCCACTGAAGTTGACAAAAATTAAACATGGGAGTTGAAATTAAGTTTGTTGTTCCTGAAATTGATGTTTAGGTGCACAACAGTTAACAACAGGTTTGAATTGACAACAGTCTCTTCCCCCACACAAAACCGCTGGATTTTTTTCATAACTAAACTAAAATATATTGAATTGTTTGGGGTTTGTTTTGTCATGTCAAAACTCCGTAAAACAAGTAGAAAAAGGGTGTGGCCTAAATTGCCTCGGATATACATGTCATCCGTGGCATGTGGCCTTATTGTTGATATTAATTTGTTTATGTAACAACACGGGTATGTATATAGGCCTATAGACGTGGCAATTGGCGTGTTTGAGCAGCAATAATACCTGACACACTTAAACAGATGCCCCATTCTAAGGCAGTCTTTAGAGTTGTGTCTCATCGGACTGGACACTGAAGGTGAAGTGCTCGTTCGTTTAGCTTATTGTTTGTTATTTAATATAATCCAGCTACATGACGGCTGTCTGTAAATAATCGAGTCTGGACCGGACAATCCAGTAATTGATATCATGACCATCGATCTACGCAATTTGGATACGATGACATGCATCACCGAGCCTGACCACCCGATCCCGTTAGCGTGCCCCTTCCTGACAAAAGGATGGAGCATTTGAATCACTGACGGTACGCTTTTGAGAGTCTATTTATAAATTTCAAACCATTTATTCAGTTGGTGCCAGGAAACCAACTTCCATGGCGTAAATATTAAATGTGGGCGAGATGTACCCGAGGTACTTCGGTGTACAGAAAAATGTACCTTAACCAAAATCAGAATACAGAACGGTGCTCTGTTCCCAAAACGGCGGATGAGTCCATATTACTCAAACCGAAACCGGTTCATGTAGTAGTTCGGTTCGCCTTGCTGGTTACGAGTGCATGCTGGGCATCGCGGACATTCCATACCGGAAGTCTCTTTTCTTCCTAGGGTTTTGTTCTGTATTCCGATTTTGGTTAGGGTTCATTTCTGCACAACGAGATACATGGGGTACATACCTGTTGTACCCGTGCCGACAACAACCCCTTCAGCTTTATTTCACCACTGTCATCCTATGTGGACAAACGTCTACACTTACTTGATTCCCCACGCCAACAGGAACGCTCCGCACAGCATTCCGACAACGGGATCCAGGTACCAAAAGTCGTCACTCTTCTCCGTCGCCAATAGGCTGCACAGAGTGCCGAAACTCACAGCAGAGCCCGTGAAGGTTATCACGCCTGCAAACGAACAATTGTTTGTAATCAAATGAACAGGTCATTGAATCACATGGTGAGTGAATATGATTGTACGCCGCATTTCAGCAATATTCCAGCAATATGACGGGGGCACCAGAAATGGGCTTCATACATTGTATCCTTTGGAGAATCGAACCCGAAGCTTCGGCTTGACGAGCACTTTAACCACCAGGCTACCCCACCGCCCCTGGAACCCGGAGATGGAATATACAAAATGTATGACCAGACTAAATGTAAGTTAAACATTACATTGTACGGGACCGGATAGAATAGGTCTCCAGCAACCCATGCTTGTCGTAAAAGGCGACTATGCTTGTCGTAAGAAGCGACAAACGGGACTTGGTTGATGATTGTCATCGTATACCAATTGTGTGGATTGATGCTTATGATTTCAATCACTGAATTGTCTGGTCCAGCCGCGATTATTTACAGACCGCCGTCATATAGCTAGAATATTGCTGAGTGCAGCGTTAAACAACAAACAAACAAACAAACAAAACATCATACGGACATATATACTAAATGTACATGAACGTCTTTTACAATGACTACATACAAAACAGTAATGATGCATGTACACATCTAGCAAAACATTCTAAATTTTTTGCTATTCTCCAATTGCTTACTGTCGGTTATTAAAGCTTTGCTTTCCAGTTTATAGCCAAGGATGACCTTGGTGATGGCAAGGGCGAGAGAGACGAGGGCGTTACATATCGCCAGCCCATACAAGATGTCGCTGCCTGTCTCCTTCACTTCCATAGCAAGAGCGTTGGCAGATTTGCCGACCAAACACGTGGCTGCTACCAGAAACAGCAGCGATATGACGATACAGGCACTGGAAGAGAAACAAGAAACGGGATTATTTTGTGGGAGAGGTTCCTGATGTACACAATCAAGTGTGTCACTGACAGAGTGAGTGGTGTTTGGTTGAACGTCACTTTTAACAATGGCTGTCACAACAATAGTCCAGAACGTCGAATGAAAGTCCATCGTGACAGTCACGCTAATCGTAAAACACCTCCGTAACCCACTTCAGAAAAACACTTCCGTTAAACACTTCCGTAAAACACTTGAGAGAACAGTTCAGAAAAACACTTCAGAAAAACACCTCCGTAGACCACTTTAGAAAAACACTTTCGTAAAAGACTTCTGTAAAACAGTTCAGAAAACAGTTCAGAAAAACACTTCCGTAAAACAGTTCAGAAAAACACTTCCGTAAAACACCTCCGTAGAACACTTCAGAAAACAGTTCAGAAAAAATAGTTCAGAAAAAACACTTCCGTAAAACAGTTCAGCAAAACCCTAAGATGACGATTATGTTCCAAGTACTATCCGAGCATCCTGTACCACCGGGACTATTCTGTCAAGGAATGGTGCGGACAAACCAAGGGTCATAATCTGGGCGAATCTTGCCATCGAACCCATGACCATCAGATCCTGGCTGGACTAAGGGACTAAATCGACACGGAATAACGGTGCCTCAGAAGACTTGGACAAGGCTCCATGAAAAGATACATCTGTAGGCTATACTTACATTCGTTCCCGTTTAGCTGAGTATACGGATCGGTCACTACCGTAAAATCTCCACAGGACGACCATGGACGAGATCCCGTCCAAAATAGCGTCCAACTGGACAATGCAAACAACATTGATGTTTAATCAATATGAACAAAACCGACAAGATCGCGTGTCATTTTCAGCCAGACAGTAGTTGCAGCCATCTTATCTTATAACCACCAACTTCTGTTTACTGTCTCATCACATATATAATGTGTTGGTATATAGACGTTTGATAAAGGTATAAATATTGTATAGCATATAGATTTATGCTATAGATATAAATATTGTATGGCATGTAGATTTATGCTATAGGTATAAATATTGTGTTGCATAATACACTTATAATATAGGTATAAAAATGGTATGGCATGTAGATTTATAACATAGGTATTAATATTGTATGGCATATAGATTTATTATATAGGTATAAATATTATATGGCATATAGATTTATGATATAGGTATAAATATTGTATGGTATAATACACTTATGATACAGGCATAAATATGGTATGGCATATAGATTTATGACATCGGTTTTAATATTGTGTGGCATATAGATCTGTGAAAGGTATCGGTATTGTATGGCATATACATTTATAATATACCTGTATGTATTAATATTGTGTGACATATAGATTTATGATATAGGTGTTAGCATTGTATGACATATAGATTTATAGACTATTAGTATTGTGTCCTGCTTTGTCGTGGCAGACATAGTTGGAAGACATTTTAGTGAAGGTGATTAATGTAGAAGCTAACTTCGATCTTCTGAAAATCATTTGGCGACAATTCAGACTGATAAATCAATGAGAAAAAATAATGAGAATTGTTTGGGTTTTTTTATTTAACGCCAGGAGTAAAGGTTTTACGTTGGCGCTGTTGTGTCTGAATGATCAATACTAAATATCAATAGTTTAAACGTTGAGTAATGGAGTTCGAATATGACATACAAACACAGATATAGATCACATTCCACTTACCCCATAACCAAACAGCGATTGGCTCCTTTCGAGAGTACTGAAAACTGAAACAGAAGATGAAGTTTGGAGATATTATGGTTTCAGCAACGTTAACAAGAGACAAGAATATTCTTGTAAATGTTATTTGCATCGCTGTACGTGTGTATTCCTTCTGTTTCATTAAAATAGGCACATACCTCGAGGAGATTGGGTCCATTAGGGTCTGTGTGACCTGGGAGAATGTGTGTGTTCACAACAGAACCAAATGGAGGAATCAGACCGTGAGGGAGAATAACAGTTTACTAACTCACTCTTCACGGAGACGAGTGAGACACCTACCAATAGCAACGATGCCCGTCGACAGAGCAAAGACCACAGACGCCCAGGAAACTGCTATGGCAGCCACACGGAGTCGGGTGGCGGTGCTGTAGGTGACTCGGTGGTGGCTGTCCTTGGTCAGGTAATCTGTGGAGAGATGGAGACAGGTAATACAACTCTGCTACGAAGCAATAAAAGAACACAAGCAACCATCTTGCTATTGACATTACGTCAGTTGATAAGACTTAGTATTAAAATCCACAATCTTCGAAATCAATTACGGTAGTCATTGACAACAATAAGGTTGTCCTCGTATTCTCCGAGAAGAAAAGTACAGGTGAGGTGAGGTGAAATGGAGTTTAACGTCGCGTCCAAGATTATTGCACTTATTTAGCGACGTGCATGCAGGTGTATGTGTGTGTGTGTGTGTTTTCGGCTGCTTGTACTAGTCTGGACTGATGCCGATTTATAGTGCTAGCACACTGAGATACCATGCCGCAGTTTAACATGAATACCCTACTCAGACACAGTATACTGACTCCGAGCCGACCAGTCCTTGTTTTAGCCCCTTAATGCCGAGCGCCAGGGTAACAACAAGTACCATCTTTTAACGTCTTTTGGTATGACGCGGCCGGGGACCGAACTCCGGACCTTCCGCTCTCCGGGCGGACGCTCTACCATTAGACCACGGAGGCGGTCTAGAAAAGTACAGAACACATGATATAATTTGTAACATCCCTACTGGGAACCTCACGCGGGCTGCGTTAAAACCAGGTAAAGGCAATACATCCTCACACCATACAAGTGCGGATATTGTTATTACAAACTGATTTTATTGAAACTCAATTTTAATCGGAATCGTGACAATAAAAGCGACCTAAGGGAAACTGCTGGTGACACCTTAAGTGCCACCTCATCATCTCAAAGCAAAATCGCCCTGTTAATGTAAATGTACCAACTTCTTTGCTATTGTGGTTTAAAATGTCGATAAATGAAATCGGAAATATTTGTGGGCAAAGCCAAAGAAAAATGGTTATATCACAGTTACAATTGATTTGTAGAAGACACACGACTACTTGTAATCGATACAACGACTGAAGCCATATAGACTCCAGCAGATGGTGGATGAGGATGGTATAGCCTATCATCAACGATCTACAGGTGTCACATGTATTCTGACTCTTCAACCAGCTCCAGATAAGCTGCGTCACTGTGTAAGATATGCAGAAACCAATTACTTTGCGTACAGGTACGCAGGACAATTTTTTCTTTTTTTTAAATACTAGTACAAGAACCTTTGTGAGTAATTACACAATGTAGCATGTTCAGCTTGTTTGATTGTTTGTTTGTCTGTTGTTTGACGCCGCATTCAGCAATATCCCTGCTCTATGACGGCGGTCTGTTGCTGAAGACGTATTGTAACCCGGATGTCTCACCTTCCTCACTGTATGTTCCATGTGTTCGCGCCGAGCTGGCGGGTGATGCTAGCTGCATCGGTTGGAGTTCGACAACGTCAGCCTGGAACAACACAAGAGTGCACCATTACACATTATCACTGCAGAATAGAACACGGTGGGTATATCCTGAAGTACGCTCGCCACTGGATTGAAATATGCCCCCCATTGTAGGTATAAATAAAACGTACCGTTTCTTGCAGACAAGTGTCCGAAGATAAAGTTAGTTATTTCTATTTACTTAAAATAATATAATTGAGCACCTGTTTATTACTTAAAAATAATTGAGCTCCAATACATTACTTAATGCTGATCTCAAACCGAAATTGCTGAGAGCCAAATAGCTACTCCCTTTGGTAAAAGTGGCGTTAACCCAAACTCACTCACTCACATTCTCACCGCCGTGACTTGACTTGAGTTATCGTAACTTCAAAACAGCACAGTTAGTCGATGGATATCTCTTTTGTTTGTGCGTGTCCCATCTTCCCGAGGCAAGTGCGTTAACTGACTACAAAAGTCCACTTACCACCCTTGCCGAACTAGGCTGGTATTATGGAGTTACATTTTGGCTGACCTAACGAGTCTATGCATAGTCCAAACAAAATCGCGCAACGAAATCGAAATCTGGTTTATAAACTGTCACGCAGATTTCGGTCGATTGCAGGATTTGCAAAGCATGTGCACTGCTAACTCGTTGTCAACAGATATTTTCTAAATCTTTTCATGTTTTCAATCAAGGTGCTCACGTGATTTGATGTAATTCGCGATTTTAGACTTATTTTGTCACAATATATAGATCTTGATTATCGATCAGATCGTCTTGACTGGGCGCCGCCGTTTTGTTTGAAATAAAAGGAAGTGATACGAGAGGTGGAATCTGATTGGTCCATAGGAGAGGCATAAAAGGGACATAACTCGTAATAGCCACTGGTGTCGCTACGATCGAGCCCAGGAATTCCAGCCTTGTTCGGCAAGGGTGAAAACTGGACTTTTATAGTCAGTTAACTCACTTGCCTCGGGAAGATGTGCGTGTCCATGTAGACGCAGGTACCTAAAAACTATTTCTCTTTAGGCTTGGGTCATGCGCATTAGCCGCGATTATTATTCCTCAACAAAGTTTCGATGAGAACAATTGACGCAACATACCTTTATATGTTAATATTAATTCATACAAAGTTCTGTGCAGAGTTGCGTCCCTTGGGCACGCCAGAAACCTTTGATTGTGGGTTCGAATCCCGGTTCGCCCCGATTATGTTTCTAGGTTTGTCAGCACCATACCAGTGCGTCTAAGACATGCATCACTTCGGGCTTTCCTCCCACATTAAGCTGGCACGCCGTGATATGACTGGAAAACTGTTAAAACGGCGTTAAACACAACTCAGTCACTCACTCATTCATACAAAATTAATCCAAAGAATGTTACAAAGTATATTAGTTTTGAGGTTGTGTTTTATGCTAACGTGTTTCAACCAGACGTACGCGATGACTCGAATTTCTATACTCTTCAAGGCTGCAACAAATAATTGTTTAGCTCGAAGGATTTGTTTGAAAAAAATATCTTGTTAAGCTAAAAGTTGAACTGATGCATGGCTCCGTAACTTGGCCTATGTAATGGGTCATTTTTTCATAGGTGAAGCCCTCATAACATGAGGAAAGAAATGTTTGGGGACATAGTGGTGTTGTGGTTCAACTTGGCACAAAATATATTGTTGTATGGTTCGGAAATATGGGGTATTAACTATCCTGATACAATTGCAAAAGATACAAACTTGCTATTTTAAACGTTTTCTTGAAGTGGGTAAATTTGCAGCAAACAAATCGATTCTGGGTTAAACTGAACGTCATTGTATGTTTATAAATAATAAAGTACTGGATTAAGCTTTTGCGAATGAATGCAAGTCGATAACCCTTCTAAAGTTATGTTATGCTTAAAGTCTAAGATGAGAACTGAAAAGTCAATCGGGCATTATTTAATGGCTATTTTGCGTGTGTGTGGTTATTCCAAGATGTTGGTGACAAGAACATGTTTTAAGAAGACGCTTAAGAGATATATATTTCAAATCATGGAACCACAGTTTGTAGTCGCCTGCTTTTGCAGTTATACTAATATAAAATCTCTTCTGCAACCCAAATTATATATAGTGGAACAGTATAGAGACAAAATATTAGTTAGAGCAATGCGTAAATTTCGAATATCTCTTCACAACTTTTGAGTCAACATTATTTGTCAAAGGTTATTGTTAAATATACCTATACAGTATCTACATGTAAAGAATGTGAAATATTATGAAGGTAAGATCTTTGCAAATTTATTTAAATCCTGTGACATTAATGTACTACGCTTGATAGCTTTATATTTATGTAACTAATTTAACATGAGATCGACACTCTGGACATGTGACCTAAAATATCATTATCTTACGACTGTACTGTGGGCCATGTGTCCTGAATTACGAAATAAACTTGATTGACTATGTGACAAAAACACAGAAATGAAACATCAGCTTGCTTCAATTGACCCCACTTTACCTCGCCAGCACGACACAATGCCAGTGTTAAAGTCAAGAGTTTCCTCGTAAAGCACGTGTGGTTCTACGCCCGCCTAACATTATACTGGCAAATCACAGACAGGAACATGGCAAAACACGTTTTTATTGCGTTGAAGAGTGAATAATTTTACGCCGCTTCAGCAATATCACGGCGGGAGACACCAGAAATGGGCTTCACACATTGCACCCATTTCGGGAATTGAACCCGGGTCTTCGGCGTGACGAACGAACGGTTTAACCACTCTCGACCGCCCCTATTGTATGAAGATAGAGTGTCATTCTACAGACTATATCTGGTGAGGCAGTGATGAATGACTATTTATTAAATGGAAGGTAAACTGTAAGCCGAAGACGAGCTGTTATCATAATGCCTGAAACATAACATGTACTACATTCAGAGTGAGTGAGTGAGTGAGTTGGGTTTAACGCCGCTTTTAACATTATTCCAGTTATATCACGGCGTGTCAGCTTAATGTGGGAGGAAAGCCCGAAGTGATGCAGGTCTTAGACGTTTACCACTTCGGTGAAACCCACGAGCACGGGTATGGTGCTGACAAACCTAGAAACATAATCGGGGCGAACCGGGATTCGAACCCACAATCATAGGTTTCTGGCGTGTCCAGGGGACGCAACTCTGCACAGCGAATCGCGGCGCCTTAGACGACTGGGCGTGTATGTCAACTCCCCGTTTCACACCTAATAACCATACTTACTCATTCACTCACTCTGGTAAAAAAACAAAAACATACAGAGTTCAGGGTGTCATTGCTTGAACCACTGAACCACATCCACCACACCACACCACACCACACCACACACCACACACCACACACCACACCACTCAATAACAGCAGGCATGTTGGTTCCGAGGACGTGACATCAATACAGTTCTCGGTGGTTAAGTGAAGATCTTAGATCTTAGGTGACAGAGTTCAGTCTCGGGGCTCTCGTCATAGACAGTAGGTTTAATCACGGTTATCATCCAGAGCCAATTACGCCACCTGCACCCACAATTCATAAAGGAAATCAATCTCTACAGCTATTGACGTCAGTATACATCAACACATGCAGGTGCGTACACATACAACACAATGTACTTAATTACAGGTGAGGTGAAATGGAGTTTAACGTCGCGACCAAGATTATTGCACTTGTAGGGCGTGTGTGTGTGTGTGTGTGTGTGTGTGCGTGCGTGCGGGTGTGTGCGTGCGTGTGACTGATTGTGCTGGTGCTAGCATACGGAGATACCATGCCGCAGTTTAACATGAATACCCCACTCAAACACATTATATGGATTCCGAGCCGATCAGTTTTTGTTTTATCCCCTTAATTCCGAGCGCCATGTTTTACCCTTTGCTGGTATTACGCGTACGTGGCCAATCATGGACCTTTCGTCTCCGGGCTGACGCTCTATACACTTCACCAAGGAGGGGCAGACGCTCTCTCCACTACACCACGGAGGCGGTCTCCGGGTAGACGCTCTATCCACTACACCACGGAGGCGGTTTCCGGGTAGACACTCTCTCCACTACACCACGGGAGGCGGTCTCCGGGGAGGCGGTCTCTGAGCAGACACTATCCACAACACCGTGTAGGCGGTCTCCGGGTAGACACTCTATCCACTACACCGAAGAGGCGGTGTCCGGGTAGACACTCTATCCACTACACCGAAGAGGCGGTCTCCGGACAGACACTCTATCCACTACACCACGGAGGCGGTCTCCGGGTAGACACTCTCTCCACTACACCACGGAGGCGGTCTCCGGACAGACACTCTATCCACTACATCACGGAAGCTGTATCCAGGCAGACACTCAGTACTATATGACTTGGTTGATGCATTTCATCGTGTCCAAATTGCGAAGATCATGACGTCAATCACTTGATCGTCTGGTCCAAACTCGATTATTTACAGAGCGCCGTCTCACTGCTGGAATATTGCTGAGTGCGGCGTTAAGCAACACAGATATAAACTTCAAGCCGGAGTACTTGAGACCTACCATGTAGTGTACTCCACACGGGGTGGCATTACGTAGCTAGTGGGCTCTTTATGCGCGAGTACAGCAAACACTGATATCACTTCGCATAATACCCGTGACGATCCGGGTTAAGTGTTCGTTCAGTGGGAAGGAGACCCGTGAAGATCCGGGGTAGAATAGGTCTTCAGCAACCGATGCTTGCCGTAAAAGGCGACTATGCTTGTCGTAAGAGGCGACAACCGGGATCGGATGGTCAGGCTCGCTGACTTGGTTGATGCACGTCATCTATACCATTTGCGTGGATCGATGCTCATGATGTCAATCACTGGGTTGTCTGGTCCAGACTCGATTATTTACAGACTGCCGTCATATAGCTGGAATATTGCTGAGCGCAGCGTTAAACAACAAACACTTCGTATCACCACATTCCAGAAAAAGTACATGGCAAAATGAACCCGAACTTCTCTTAGCCCTTTAACTTACTTTGCTCCCAATTGTCAAAAATTGATACGAAATCACTTTCAGATTGGTTCAAATTCTAGGACATTGACCTCTGGTTATCCAGTTTTCCTGATAGTGATCTCTACATACCATAGGTGCAAACCACAAGGGCCGCCCCACACCCCTCAACACCCACCCAAACTATAAACCATATGATTGCCATTGTTATGCTATAGCCCTAGATGAAACAAGTCTGGATCTCCCATCTCTCTGAGACTCCATCAATTTACAGGGAGTTGTTTCTGTTCTAATAATATCTTTTCAGCGAATAATCAGTAGTCTACAAGGATCCCCTCTTAATTTCGAGCACATGCCCTAAACTATATAAAATTGTCTCCCTGTCAAATAAAACCTACAATATTACAATATGTCTCTCTTTTAGATCATAAACATGTCCCCTGTGATATAAATTAACGTATTGTCTCACTACACGTACATATAAACATAAAGCGTCTGCCTGTGTCCTATATATTAATCTCTAGATAATACCTTCTATATATGATACACTAAATGTGCACCACAAAATTTAATATGTATATGGCTTCGTTTTTTCCAGTTCATCTCTCTTTGTAATAAAGCATTTCGTGTTTATTTAATAACATTTTACTTTATTGCACATGTAGGTATTCACTATACTTAATTGTTGGAAATACAACTACACCTGCAAAACTAGTCTGTCATACAGACCCTAAAACAAATATATCCAATACAGCCCATGCAAGTCTATAATATTTGGCAAGTCTAGATTCATAACTATAATTTAACAACTGTTTTTGTGTGAAATATATTCATTTCAGAGACTAGATGTTACTCTACTGCAAAACCAGATATCTTATATAATTAAAAACTATGAGCGTAAATAATATAAATCAGGGTCGTTGACTTGGTTGATCGCGTAGATTATTTACAGACCGCCGTCCTGTAGCAGGAATCTTGCTGAGTGCGGCGTTAAACAACAAACAAATGAAAACTTGATATTTGTAACTTATAAATGCAACCCCGGGGATACAAGCACCTACACACCTGCTTTAGAAAATCAACATGACAATTAAAGCTCTCACCTTTCTTGTGCATTCTAAAGATTCATTGATGTAAAACTTTATCATTTCGGGCCCAAGAACAACCTCCATGTTTGTGCTGGCTGTGTCGTCTGCGTCTGATAAACGACAAGGCTTGCGCGAGAAGTGCGTGTTTTTGTTCGTGCACGTGTTGATTTCATGGGGGGGGTTCAAACATTGCACGGATTGCTCGTGCCCAGTTGCACAAAAGGTTCGTTCTCGAGTCTATTTCATGTGTGATACATCGCACGGATTATCGCGGTGCATAAATAGGAGCATCAAATCGGCTCATGTTTATCTCCAAAAGGATTGGGACAATTTAGCTCACATTCACCAAAGGTCGGTCGACTTTGATATGTCTTTTCACCACCTCCTTCGCTCAGATCGTCTCCGTCAACGGTTAAAACAATTTAAACATTCTGCAGTTATTTTCTCTTCATATTTTGATTTGTGATACCCAGAAAGTTAGGCGGCCAAACTTATAAACGATAAACGTCAATCCCAGAGTCACTCTGAACTCCTGTTACGTAAGATAGAGTTTTTTTTAAAAAACCTCCCAGAACAGTGAGTGATGAGTTTGGTTCTATTCTCTGTGAACAATATTTCATAATATCACGGCGTGGCAGTTTGATGTTGTAGGAACGCCGGAAGTGATGCAGATGTTAGATTTTCCTGTTTTGGAAACCCACGAGAACGGGTTGTGAGTGAGAAACCCGTGAGTCGCCCCTTTCCGTAACCTGCAAGAAGACTCGTCCCCCTATCGATGAATGTCATGTGCGAAAATACGACAAACCAATCAGAATGCGCGTATGAATTCAAGTTGTTCGTCAAAGAATCCCTCAGAAATAATTGTGATTTTACATATGTCTTGCATCTAAAAATATACCCAAGACACAGTTAAATGTGTTCAATCATACTGTATAATTCCGCATGTCCAGATGTGCTTTAAATTGCATCTGAAATATATATAATATAAGGGGGAATATACGTGAACCATTACGCAACGAGTTGACAATTGTTTTAGGTATGCCCGTTTGCGCTAGGACGGAACCCGGTTGCAAAAATGGCCACGAGAGGGGCACGAGTCGCTATTCGGTTTGTCCCGGAATAACACAAGATGGTCACGAATGTGAGAAACCAGGTCACATTACGTATCCACGCTCACTGGTGTCTGGAACGCCCAAGGGACGCAACTCTGCAAAGGGTAGAGGCTACTATGTGTCAATAAGACTGATTGATCCAACTGGACATGATTGTAAGGACGGTCACATGACCCCCTCCGAGCGGAGAAGACAAAAAATTCGAAGCTCTCCCGGCCCACCGTGATGTTTGTCTGTTTGTTTGTTTGTTGTTTAACGCCGCACTCAGCATATTCCAGCTATATGACGGCGGTCTGTAAATAATCGAGTCTGGACCAGACAATCCAGTGATTGATATCAGGAGCATCGATCCACGCACTTGGGATACGATGACATGCATCAACCAAGTCAGCGAACCTGACCACTCGATCCCGTTAGTCGCCTCTTACGACAAGCATAGTCGCCTTTTAAGGCAAGCATGAAATGCTGAAGACCTATTTTACCTCGGATCTTCACGGGTCCGACCCACTGTGAAAACCTCCTTGTTATTCCACAGCTAGATTTCTGCAAAAGGTGCTTGTGCCTGAATTAATGTTGGATTTAATATATCTCTCCCCCTTTACCTCAGTCCCGAGACTGTTGTAAAGCAACGACCCAGCGACAGATGGTGGCAATACTTGTGTTTCGGTTGATGGGTGGGTGGGTGAGTTGGGTTTAACGCCGCTTTTAACAGTATTCCAGTTATATCCCGGCGTTGTTTGGGTTGAAATCGCGAAATATTTGTTTTTTTCATGTAACCAAATCCAAATAATGTTGATGTTTTTAATTTTGCCAATTGTGTGTGACAGAACAATATGGCGAATGGGTAGTAGTTTTAAAAGTAATTCCGTAGACGGGGAACGGGCAAATAAGAAATAATAATGTCTTTAAATAATAATTGTCACTTGGTCTATATGTAGGGCACGATGACACACATACAACTCGGTCATTGTAAATATCGGATCCTCATTTAAGTAATGTCTACCAAGAAGTTCCAACGGCACATCAGCTGAACTTCCAGAGGTGCATTGGTATATCGGACTGGCAACAAATATGTTTACATTCCTCTAGGAACATGTACGTACACATAACTTACAGGGAACATAACCTTTACGCGTTGTTGTGTCTACAATTATAACCTTAAAAGTATGGAATTTGACCTTAAATTGTTGGAAAATTACACGTTTAAAATCTACGTACCACACTGCATGGCCTGTCTTTCCGCTCTACCAACCCTCGATTTCGATTGTGTCTTCAATAATAACTCATATCTTCACATAAAATCTATCCAGTTGTGCAAATTGCCAGCGATCAATATGCACACGTCCATCCAACAAGTGACAGTGCAGCCTCCGGTGAGGGCTAGCGTCCCTATAGCTCACGCCTGCTTGTAATGTTCACACCTGTGTCGTCTCAGCCGGTCTAACAACATGGCAGTGATGTCGTGTGTGTGTGTGTGTGTGTACACACCTCGCCCCTATGTCGTCTCAGCAGGTCTAACAACAAGGCAGTGACAGTGATGTCGTCTTGGTGTGCCAGTGCGTGTGCGTGTGCGTGTGTGTGTGTGTGTGTGTGTGTGTACCACCTCGCCCCTGAGTCTCAGCCGGTCTATCAACATGGCAGTGATGTCGTCTTGGTGTGTGTGTGTGTGTGTGTGTGTGTGTGACGTCATGTTCTGTGACGTAATGGGACTCAGCACGCGCAAATCGGTATGTGTGACGTCATGCACTGTGACGTAATGTGACGTAAGCTGATCCAGTCGTATGCATAAATCACTCTAACAGATCAGTATTACCCCCAGTACGCAGACACTGTATCAGTTAACACATGACACAATGTCCAGACGAAACCTGAAACTGAGATCCAGAATGTGTAGCACAATCTCTCTTTAACTTCGAAGTAGACGATATATCGAGTCGACCAGACCTCGATTTAACTGGGTTGTACCTAATGCTACTCTAGTGGTTTTTACGTTAGGCAAGTGTGTTCTCGAAAATGACAGCTGCGGTAAATAAACCTGGGTCGTTCTTTTCAGCTGTCCAGCAATATGACGGAAATGGAACTTGTCTGTATCAACTATTGACAAAACGCCCAGAAGACAATGAACATATGGTTTACTCATCTCTAAATTGTGCAATGTCGTCATAGTGTGGCGTTATTTATGCGGCAATCCATTTGCTATAACCTATATATTGAGATGCTACATTCGTGGCTGTTCAACTGAATTCTGTAACACCTATATAATTGCATTGTACGAACTACAAATGTATAGCCCTGGGTCGGAAATGCAATACTGTGTTGTAATATGTAGACCACACAGAACTAAAGAGAATGGTTACTGTATTGGTGGTAGTTTGAAAGCGGTGAATCCCGTTAATCCAAACCTCGTCAATCAAACATGGTATGTCTGAACGCCGATCATCTGAACATATTCGTCTGGAACACGTTAGTTTCAGCCCCGTCAGTCTGGGCCCTTAGTATCACGTTAGTCTGAACCCCGTTAGTCAGTTTCACGTTAGTCTGAACCGCGTTAGTCAGTATCACGTTAGTCTGAACCCCGTTAGTCAGTTTCACGTTAGTCTGAGCCCTTAGTTAGTATCACGTTAGTCTGAGCCCCGTTAGTCGGTATCACGTTAGTCTGACCCCTTAGTCAGTATCACGTTAGTCTGAGCCCGTTAGTCAGTATCGCGATAGTCTGAACCACGTTAGTCAGTATCACGTTAGTCTGAGCCCTTAGTCAGTATCACGTTAGTCTGAACCCCGCTTGTCAGTATCATATTAGTCTAAACCCCGTTAGTCAGTTTCACGTTAGTCTGAACCCTGTTAGTCAGTATCACGTTAGTCTGAACCCTGTTAGTCAGTATCACGTTAGTCTAAACCCCGTTAGTCAGTTTCACGTTAGTCTGAACCCCGTTAGTCAGTATCACGTTAGTCTGAACCCGTTTGTCAGTATCACATTAGTCTGATCCCTTAGTATCACGTTAGTCTGAACCCTGTTAGTCAGTATCACATTAGTCTGAGCCCCGTTAGTCAGTATCACGTTAGGCTGAACCGCGTTAGTCAGTATCATGTTAGTCTGAACCCCGTAAGTCAGTTTCACGTTAGTCTGAGCCCTCAGTCAGTATCATGTTAGTCTGAACCCTGTTAGTCAGTATCACGTTAGTCTAAACCCCGTTAGTCAGTATCACGTTAGTCTGAACCCCATTAGTCAGTATCACGTTAGTCTGAGATCCGTTAGTCAGTATCACGTTAGTCTGAACCCCGTTAGTCAGTATCACGTTAGTCTGAACCCCGTTAGTCAGAATCACGTTGTATCACGTTAGTCTGAACCGCGTTAGTCAGTATCACGTTAGTCTGAGCCCTTAGTCAGCATCACTTTAAACTTAGCCCTTAGTCATTTTCACGTTAATCTTATCCCCGTTAGTCAGTATCACTTTAGTCTGAACCCTGTTAGTCAGTATCACGTGAGTATGAACCCGTTTAGTCAGTATCACGTTAGTCTGAACCCTGTTAGTCAGTATCACGTTAGTCTGAACCCTGTTAGTCAGTATCACGTGAGAATGAACCCGTTAGTCAGTATCACGTTAGTCTGAACCCTGTTAGTCAGTTTCACGTTAGTCTGAACCCTGTTAGTCAGTATCACGTTAGTCTGAACCCCATTAGTCAGTATCACGTGAGTATGAACCCGTTAGTCAGTATCACATTAGTCTGTACCCCATTTGTTTGAACCTCGCTAATCCGAATCCGAAAGTTGCAAAAATTGTATTGTGATTCCAAGTCATCTGAATTAGGATCTGCTGTGTATAAATTATTCAGCTCAACATTTGCAGCAAGTGCACTGCAATGTAGCCTCAAGCCCTTACTGTATTTCTGTCTATTGACATATCTCTTTATGGTGCAGGTTGTGAACACAGCATTAAAATCACTACAAATCTGTCAACAGGCATTTATCACAACGTGAATATTTACCAAGTACCAGTATGTACCATGAGTTTTCGACGTTGCTACATCATAACTTAATCACACGTAAAATAAAAGAGAGTCCTTAATATTAATCAATTACGTCAATATTAAGTGTGATTATTTACATATAAATATACATAAAGTCAACACATCTCCTACCTTGACGCTCTTTGTCAACACACCTCCTACCGAGACGCTCTGTCAACACATCTACCTGGACGCACTTCCACCGTTTCATCAGAAATGAAACATCTCATGGGACACCTGACGGACGCGTATAATTAAAGGCGCTCTCTCCCCTAGTAACTCGTTCATACAGGTTTAAGCCTGAAAATCAATCAATTCCAATCCCCAGTTTTCGAGACAAGGACAAGATGACTCGTTAATCCGGTACAGTGCAAGCTCGATAATCCGCTACAGGTACACCTCGTTAATCCAGTACAGTTTAACCCCGTTAATCCGCTACAGTTAAACCTCGTTAATCCAATACAATAAACCTCGTTAACCCTTTACAGTTAAACCTCGTTAATCCGATACAGTGAACCCCTTAATCCGATAAAGAGCAACGCAGTTTATCCGGTACAATCAAACCCCGATAATCCGGTAAAGGGACACATCGTTAATCCGGTACAGTGCAACGTCGTTAAT